CCGTGTGGACCAGTAAGACAAATAAAGGGGGTAACAAATTTCACAATTTGCACCTTAATTTTTACAGGTAGCAGCAGCAGTGACTGAGTACTGCAGTTACTTTCTCCCGGCAGCCAGCAGACCTAAAAGGCCGTCTGTTTTCTCTCCTGACTACAATCATTGTAAGCCCGGAGGTGCTGGAGGCACACCGCAGCACAGACACCTATGGTGAGGAGGCTGTGCAAACACCTTCCTAACATGTTGGGGAGAGGGAAGCAGGGTGGGAAACTGAACTTCCGCTCTAACTCAGACACCAGCTTCACTTTTTTTCTAGCTCCTAGATTTACTGAAATACAGCTATCCTAAAAATTCAGCAGCTGGCCTCATGCCAGGTATTTACACCTTCAACTTTGTATGTGAGATGTGAAAAAGTAAATTCTCAGAATGACCGATACGTGCCCATGAGGTAGTGTCTTAATGCAGATAGGATGAGTGGTAACGGCTTTAAGTTGTGCCAGGGGAGCTTCAGGTAGGATATTAGGAGAAAGTTCTTCTCAAAAAGAGTGGTGATGCATTGGCACAGGCTCCCCAGGGGTTGGTGCAGTCACTGTCCCTGGGGACAGTTCAAGAAACACATAGGTGTGGTACTGAGGGATGTGGTCAGTGATACGGCAGTGATGGGCGGGCAGTTGGACTAGATGATGTTAGTGGTCTTTTCCTATTGTAACGGTTCTATGATCAATCTGAACGCATCTGTTCTGCTTTATCTCCTCATTCATGTTTTTATCGCATCACATGCTTTTTGTCATTTTAAAGTCATCTGTGAAGTCTGGTCGGAGCAATCCTCTTGTTTTTAAGGGCTGAGGAAGCCAAAAGAAATCTGTCTTTGTGCATCTGACTCGTCTTTGGAGAAAAAGGGAGAGATTGGAAGAAGTAAAAGCAAGAGGAACAAAAACAATGCTGAAGTTCCTAAAACAAACAAACAACAAAAAAAAACCAGGTATGTCAACAGGCAATTTTGGGAGATCTTAGTATGCTTCTTTGTCGTCTTTTCATGCGAGATCTTTTTTCCTTAAAATCCATGCCCTGTCAACTAAGGCACTTATTGAAAAATCAAGAATGCAAAATGTAAGATTGCAAATCATGCAAGAATGACCAAGGCAAGCAGAACTCAACAATTCTCTCAGAAAACACCAGAGTGCACTACTGCTTAGTTGGGATAATCTGAAGGCAGACAGAGCAACTTTATTGAGGAGTGTGTCTACTTCAGCACAAAAGGCCTATAGATTGCAAACGGTGATTTCCTTATGTTCAGACACTTGATTTTTTTGGCAAACAGGTTCCTTAATACCTGAATCCTTTGTTAATTGTTTCCAGTGTCAAAATCAGGCAAAATAAAAATACATACCAAAAGGTGGAAGCACCACACATGAAGTTTTGTAAGATAGTAACAGTATCATACAATTTTAGAAAGTAGTAATTCAGAAAATCCTGTTGTTTGACTTAGAGTAATTAGTACAATGGATCCAAGAGGATTACTTTTTTTAAGGAGACATGGATGCTAACAGAGGTATACGGAACTTTTAAGGTGTTTTTTTTTTTTTTTTTTGTATTTTCACTGTGAATTTACAGAGTCACTCAGAGCAGAAGGCTTCTGAAGAGTCCAAACTCGTGCTCAAAGCAGGGTCATAGTGAATTCATATGCTGCAGCTCCCATGGTTGTTCACACAGTGACCACCTTTCTGCATGCCAAGGCAGAACTTTGCTTCTAAGCATTTATGATTATGACACCACCATCTCTACCATCACACAGGTCAGGGGAGAGCATAGCTGTATATTCTCTTCAGCCTCCTCACAATTGCTGGGGGGCTGCTGTTAGGTCTCCTGAAAGCCTTGCCTTCTCCAAGCTAATCCATCCCCCCTTCCCTCAGCCCTTCCTCACAGGAGCATGCCTCAACCCCAACCATCTTGATGGCTCTTCCTTAGACTCGCTCTAGTTTATTATCATCTCTCTTGAATCTTAACTTCACGTGCTAAATGCACGTCTTTTTGCACAAAAGTTCTCCAGACATGTCTTTGTTCTTCTGGAAGCTTACCTTGTTGAAGCAGCAAGTACTCATGCTTCTGTCTGAGCCTATATGTGAGGACTTGAGGCAGGTGCACTACACTACCCCACGTCACAGCAGAAGTTGTCCTTAATGTTAGGAGTCTTCCTGGCTGCAGGAATCCAGACGAATATTTCAGCGTGCAGCTCCTCTGTCAAGAAAATAAAGACAAACTGCATCTCCACTCGAGCAAACTTCCTTTGGTACTCGCTATGGGGAGTAACAGGTTAACCTAAAATGAATAAAACAGCAGGTTTCATTCATTTATAAAGTACTTGAAAAGTGTGCTGAGCTCACCACAAACACGTCTCAATTCATCCTTTCATTAATGAATAGCACTTTCATACAAAATGGTAAACTGAAACATTGTGATTAAATTTCTAGTGCTGAACACAGGTAAGTGGCAATGTGGCCAATACAATCACAGCACTGTTAGGCTAAGGTGGGGTATTTCACTTAACATCCCTTTTGGTGGCAACATCATTATAACTAGCTGGCTTGCTGAGGGTGCATAGCATTGCCCAATCAAACATAATGCAAGTGCTCCCTCACCTTGGTGCTAAAACCTGTACCTTTCTATTTAATACAGTGCTTAATCGTGCATTTTGGATCTTGCAGAAAACATCTGATGACTGAGGAGCTTTTGGTACGAGAACTAATTTCCACTTCAATGATGAAGCTTCGTGTGGCCACTGTGGGCAACACAACAGCAAGCGCACACAGCTCTGCTCTGCTGAAATGAGGTATGAGTTCCCAGGGGAAAAAATGCTCTACAGACATGATGTTTGGCCTCTACTAACTAGAATCAGTGATGGCCATGTGTTTTGTATCAGGAATTAGGTAAAGCTTTGCTCTGCTGCTTTTGGTGTTCAATGCGAGAGCCTAACAAGGGTAACAGAAACTACAAAATGAAGACTAATCTGGTTAGATTCAGGGGTGACAAAAACATATGCTTGCTTGAGGTCAAGTTTGTCAGAACTCAAGCTTATATGTAAAATAGAAAAAACAAAGCAAAACATTCAGTGATTGGGCAGGCAAGCCCTGGAATCAAAGATTGTGAGGCAAGAATTGCAAATCTGTGAGTAAAGATGGAATAAGTAATTAACTATGCATTGCAGAAACTGTTTAATTGCAAATATATACTACTACCAGTGTCTGTGGTAGCAGGTTTTTTCATTTATTTACATCCTGGCTGAGAAAGCTCACTTAGAAGATAAGATAAAAGAGCATAAATGTTTTGTAAATTCTGCTAATAGGCTGTTAGCTCTTTATGTTTTGATGGGGTTTGTGCAGGGGATATTTACTTATATAAGCACAGACACATGAGTTACCTTCCAGAATACTGACTGAACTAAGTGTTATATTACTACTCACAGATCCTGGCAACACAAAACTTTACAGATGCATCAGTGATGCACTTCTAATCTGCTCTGTTTAGAACTGCGCTCTTGCAATATTCCTCCATTTCTTCAATGTCTTTCCTGTTAGCTGAAACTTATTGCAATATAAATGTAATGATGTTGAAAATATTAGTGAAAACATGTTAACAGTGGAAAAGCAATTTACTTCTGTAACTTCTCTCATACATTCTGCCAAAAATCTTTTAAGAAAGATGTGCCAAGTATCACAACCTTACACAAGTACCATCATTTATTCAAGATTATAAGAAAGCACATGAGACATGTTTCCAAAATCATTAATTTTATTGTTTGCCTTAACTGTAGCATCATGTACAGCCCTCATCTCTAGCACAGCAAAGCAGCTCAGCATGCGCAAAGCCTTATTCAAGACCAGCAGAAGTGGAACCTCAGTTATATAATGCAGTACATGCAGGAGTTGGTTTATTATCATATCCAAGTACAGTTACTCTGATTCTTGCTTCTTTCAGGGCTGTTGAAAAGTTTCATTTTAGGAGTGCAAAGAGAAAATAGCTATAACTTTTATAGAGATGACTCATGTTTAAACCCAAATTCTTAAGTCTCAGTTATTAAACTACAGCAGGGACCCTTCTTCAGTTGTGAAAAAAACTGCAAAACAAAGAGAACAAAAGAAAAAAATTAGTTGGTTGTATGAAGTACAACTAAGAACATCAGCGGACTAAGCCCTGGCTCGTGCTAAGTATACTCCCATTTCTGTCAAAAGTTTTTCAGGTTTACTTGCCAGCTCCTGGCAGTCTCTCTAAGGTGAAATGTAAGTGGCAATAAAGCCAATTACTTCTGGAGGGCTTTGCCACTGTGTAGCCTGGCTGAAAACTTGAGACTTATTAGAGGAGTCTGCATGGGATAACTGTGTGGCTACAGAAACAGACACAGTTTTGGTTTTATTAATGTCTGCAAGTTGATTATGAATTGCTTTTAAAATCTAAATGGTTAACTACTAAGCAGCAGTTCTGATAAACAAGCTTTATTCTTCCAAATTCTGAATATAATTATCTGAATTGCACTCTTCACATGCATCTGTTGTATTTATTATTTACCACATTCCATTGGCTTAAATCCAAAAATCAGCACAAGAGGGAGGAAAAGACAGAAGGGAGAAACAAGCCCAATTCAAACAGCTAGAATTGAAATACTATAGGATTCAGACATACATTCTAAGAGGCAGCAACGTACAAGTGATGTTCAAAATAACACTAATTTGTTATCAACAGATGGAACAATTATCTCAGTATGTACTAAAGACTCAGACTTAGTCTGTCAGGGAGTCCTGAGCTACCAGACACTCGGGAGTTGAGGTTCTGCAAATCCTCAGAAGCTACAGTACAAATTTCCAACATTAGCTTTGTTAGTGATCTTGGAACACCCCTGTTCATGCCCCTGAAAGATCCCCAACATTAAAATAAATAGAATTACAGCAGGGTTATTCTTAGATACATCTTACTGTGCTGCAAGATGGAGCTTTACCTGAAGTAAATCCTTAGCCTCTAAAGAAGCCAATAATGTAGGAGCAGAACTCGTGCAGGGATTCCCAGCAATGTTCCCGTGCCAATTTCATTGCTTCGGTTTCATTTTCAGAACCTTGACCAGAGTGGGTTGGTTTTATACGAGGTAACATTGCAGGTTTCCCTGTTTTCTTAACAGAGCTCTTCCCAGCTCCTCTCACAGAAGCTGAAGTTTTCTGGGATGATTTGTCCCGATTTGCTAAATCTTCCGGCTCTACGCCAGCAGCTACTTGCTTCATGAGAGCATCCACAGGAGCCTTTTGGCACATGCTGGCCTTCAACATTTGTGTAGATTCGCAGGCATGAGGGAGCTTTCTGAGTTCCATGACGATCTGATTCCAGTACATCTTTGGATTGTTTCGGAAAGGACTACAGAGCAACGGCATGCCAGTGTATTCACACCAGTAGGACTTGCCTTGGCCTTTGCATTCAATTCTTGCTTTCATCTCTTCATCCCCACTTATGCTCATTGTACAGACGTCTTTGTTTTTAGTCCGAAAATTGATTTCTTCACCATTGCTTCTTTTCTTTGGTTTCAGCTTTTGTCCCAATCCTCCCATGCCACAGATCACTACCAGGAAAAGAAGAGCAACTCTCTTCATGGCAAGAGGAACTGACTGCGATCTTTCAGCAAAATGATCTGAAAAAGTGGAAGTAGTAAGTACCCAGCTGCTCTCAATTTAAAGGTTTGGTGCACAAAGAAGCCTCTTTCCAGCTACATGTGGGATGGATGTAATTTTTTTATATTTATTTAAATAATAAATCACCCTTCAGTAGGCATGCACCCGTAATTTATAGCCTGAGGAAGTGTCGAATAAGCTGTGAACTCTCATGAAGGTAACAAGACAAATCTTGTAAATGCAGTGAAATACAGAACGATAGTTGTATAACTGAGAAGCACATTCCTATCCAGAATGAACATGTCATATTTGATTTTGAACAGGACTTTTCCATTCTCCAGCTGCTTTACAGCTTTCTTCAAGACTGAACTTGTAATGCAATTCAAAAGTAAAAAAAGATAAAAGTGCCAAAACAATCTATGCAGCTACCTCTGGATGATTATGTACATGTGAATCTAATGAGACTCAACAAGGCCAAGTGTAAGGTGTTGCACTTGGGTTGGGGCCATTCCAGATATGTCTACAGACTGGGAGAAGAACTCACTGAGAGCAGCCCTGCTCAGAGACTTGGGGGTCTTGATGGCCAAAAGTTGGACCTGAGCCAGCAAAGTGCACTTGTAGCCCAGAAGGCCAAAGTATCTTGGGCTGCATCAGTAGAAGCATAGCCAGCTTCAGGGCTTGCCTCCCTCTGCTCTGCCCTCGTGAGACCCCAAGTGCGGTATTGTGTCCAGGCCTGCGGCCTCTGGCACAAGAAGGACACAGTGTTGTTGGACCAGGTCCAAAGGATGCTCAGAGGGTTGGAGAACATCTCCTATGAAGAAAGGCTGAGATAGTTGGGCTTGTGCAGCCTGGAAAGAGAGAGCTCCAGTGAGACCTCATTGTGGCCTTCTAGTACATGAAGGGAGCTTATCAATTGGAGAGAGACTGACTTTTTATTGTGCAGATAGTGAAAGGACAAGGGGGAACAGATATTTCTATTAGATGTTAGGAGGAAATTTTTTATTTAGAGGGTGGTGAGGTACTGGAGCAGGCTACCCAAAAAGTTGTGAATGCCCCATCCCTGAAGGTGTTCAAGACCAGGCTGGATGGGACCCTGGGCAGCCTGAGCTGGTGGGTGGTAATGAGCCCAAGGCAGGGGGGCTGGAATTAAATCATCTTTGAGGTCCATTCCAACCCCAGCCATTCTGTGATTCTATGAGTATTTGCGGGACAAGTAGGTATCCCCCACAACTGATTAACTTGAGTCCTTACATCTCTGCATAAATCACATCATTTGTGGAAGGCAGAAGCTCCCTCACACAGGGTCAATGATGTTCTTTCACTCCTTCCTGCTCCTGTCCTTGGTCTTCTTTCTTACATAGATAAAGTCTTCACAGAAAGTAAAATGCACAGCAAAAATTTGTTATTGAGGTAAAAATCTTAAAAAATTATTCATTTTTTTTAACTTACTGCAAATATTCTGAAACAGGTTTACATGACAAAACAATCAAGAATCAAACAGCAGCTAGTTAAGCAAGTTATTTTTTATTTAAATGAACTGGGAACATCTTCTCAAATTAAAAATAGAAGCTTTTAAAAATCTACAGTTCTGAACATTACATATACACATTATGCTACATACTGTCAATTAGAAATGCTTCAATTTATGACCTAAAAATAAAAAAATAAGGTTATTGCAGATTAAAGATTGGTATGACTTGTCAGCATTTTTTTAATAGTTATTTGAATGATTTCAAGATTATACATACTTCAAGCCAGTGAATACTGACCTATTAAGAGACACTATTTGAGATCAGTATGCCCAATTATTTCACACACTGTAAAGTTTTACACTAGTAAGATAAACACTTGTGGCCCTTTTGATGAATTCTTCTGTTAACTAATTCAGCAACACACTCATATGCCTAAATTCAAGGCAATAAGTCTAACAGTAGAAACATTAACTCCTGTTCTAAATGCCTGAACTTCAACATTGGAAATCATATTTTGAAATTGTGAGACAAAATTACTATCACTGACCTCTGAAAGAGGTACAGTTGAACAGTGATGCTATTAAGGACGTTAAAGAATTGGGTACAGATGAGGAAAAGGGAGACAGGATGTAAAGCATTCTAAAAATCACCAGCATTATGACGTCTTTCATGCTCTTTTTGAATACTACTGAACTTCAGAAAGCTTAGCTTTTTGCTGCATGAAGCATTACACACATTCCCAGCCCTCCCACCCAAATACAGTTTCAAACCAAACGTCTCCCTTTTAGGTCTATACTGCAAAAATCACTAAACATTAAATAATAATTAAAAAAAAAAGGGAGAAAACAGAAATGCAACTGACCTTTTCAGAGACACAAAGAGACACTGTGCATCCCATTACACACTTAAAATTTAGTCCAAAGTGGTCATTCAAGAGCACCAATAGCAACACTGATCATGCTGGTAAATTCATTTGTGAAACATACTATACAATATTAAAATCTTAACTAAACACTTAGATGTTTTAAGAAAAACATATATACAAAAGTCTCTGTATACAAAATGTATTTTTATGTAAACGTGTCTGTACCGTATTTAACACATCTCAACAATTTAAGATAAGAATTTGACCAGCTGTCAGAAAACTGCTAAGCAAAGTCAGTTAATCTAATTAATTCATATCCTGTGATGTAAGATAGAAAGCTATATGTAAAAAAAGTAAAAAAAAAAAAAAAAAAAAGATAATAATAATTCAAGCCTTGAACAGTGGTATTTGAGAGGCAGTGCCCTGGTCACAAAATATCCTGTACAGTAGCTTATGGCATAACAATCAATAGTACATTTGTGATTTACAGTACAGGTCACACAAAACAAGTGGCTCAGTATTTTGAAGATGATTGCAAATGCCAGTGCACGTGGAAGAATATCAATATCTTCCCGTAGAAGAATCTTGAGCCTCATTTCTATAGCCTGCAAATAACCACAAATACAATTCAGGAAAATTTGACAGACAGAATCATACTGTAATTCAAAAAGAATGAAGGCACAGATTTTCATATGGACATGAATATGGTTCAGCAGTTTTTGAAAAATTATTTTTAACTTGCAGCATTCACACTAAAGAAAACAGAAGAAGAGTTCTCATAAAAAATACGAAAGCAGTAGTAGGTCTAGAATTCACTCTAAAAGCTTTCTGCTTACCCCTTTATGATTCCAGTTTCTGTTACCACTGTTCCACAGAGCTACACAAGAAAACAAACAAACACAAATCAAACCCATAAATTTCTCTTGTCCACAAACAGTATAACAGAAGTACCATGTCTGGCTGTAAAGTGAGACAGGCTCAGTTGGCACAGAACAATCACAGATTTAACCATTTATTGAAGAGAAAACAGATTTATGGTTTTCTCCATCAACCTTTCCTGTTATTACATTTATTTTAGGATGAAGAGAAGTGCTTTCATTACCAATTCAACACCACTGACTTTCTCTGAAGAGACCAATCCAGCCTCGAATTCTGCTCTCACAAAAATGGTGCCTGAATTTGAGGATATTTATATCTTTCACAAAGATATCTATGTGAGACAAACATATATCATATGGATCTCAATCTTGTATTTTACATATCCCTTCTATGAAGAAAGATATTTATATCTTTCCAGCAAACCGATCCAGCTGATTTCCAAGGACAAAATCTACTTTTAGGATTGTTCACATCTGCAAAAGTACCGGTGTACATAGATTTTATCAAATTCATCTTTCCCAGAGTGTCTCAAATCATTTGCAGAAACTGAGAAAAAGCAAGGACAGCATAAAGGCAAATGGTTTGCTCAAACAAAAAGGAAGAACAAGACTCCTCTCTCTCTTGTATGGGAACCGTGGACTGAGAAACAAAAAGCACGTATCTAATACAAGCAGTCATTTTTCAAATGGTCTGAGTTAAAGCATCAGAAGAAAGTACTGCTTCAAACTCAATTCTTACACTGTATAATGGAAGCCACCTTTGAATAACTCTATTAAAATTTAGTAAAAGGAAGACAGAATTGAACTAGTGGGTTTAAAAGATTAATTTATGTTAATATTCAGCTTATTCAAGGACACTGTCTTAAACTATTCATCAATCACTGAAATATCATGAAATATTGTGCTCTAAACTCCAAGGTTATTAACAGTCATGTTAAAGATTCAAAGATCAGAAAGGGACTTCTAAAGCCTGAGCAATTATTAGTTTCCTCTTATGTAAAATATCAAAAGTCTTAAAATGGAGTTCTTAGATGTGCCAGTAGAGACTAGTTTTTAATTAGAGGCTGTGTAGGTTTATTTAGGGAGTCCTTAAAGTACAGTACAGGCTATGACAATCCGGAACATTAAAATCACTATAAACAGTTGTTATATAAAAATACATCCACACAAGTTAATGTGGAATCGAAATTTGGTCACTAAATAATTACTGCAGAATACAGTTCTAATAAACAATAATATACAACTGATGCAGACATAAAATTTGGCAAGGCTTCCAAACCACCCCCTTTTTTAACCATTACTAAAAGAACAAAGCTATCTGATTTGTCTGCCAACACTCAACCTACATTTTCAATCACAGTGTTGTAAATTAAGGCACAGCGAGCTATAGATTTTAATCATAGATTAGATCCTTCCTTAAGCAAATTGGGTATCTTGCAAACCCTAATATTAAAGTTGTGGGATGCCCTATGTTATCTGTACAGGAATGGTGCATCTCACAACTGGTTAAGGTTTTAAAGCACCAGCGTTGCAGAGCCAGCAGAGAACCCAAATCTCCTGCCTTTTAAATATAACTTGAATTTCTTGTTTTGTGAAGTCACACTAGTTCTACCCATGCAGAAACATCCATTTTATCTGCTCGTGTCTTCTGCATATCCTGCATCATCTGCTTTTTGCACAGCAAAAGCTCTTTACCACATCATCTAAAAAACTGTAACATAAGTACGCTTATTCTGGTGACAGAGCAAATGAGCAATTAAACATTATGTTTATCTGCAGGGTCTCTACTGCTCCTCATTAGAATTTTGAATGATCAGGAGAAAAAGCTGATTTTATAAAATCTGGCTTTGTGTTCCATGCATTGCAGAGGAAGAATATGTGAAATTAATCAGTTTGTAAATTTGCACCCGTTTCTGTCGAAGGTAATATATACAAAGATGTATTTGCTACAGATCTTGTAAGAAGATTAAAAAAAAGACTCTGAAGCAAGAATGCATCCTGCCCTACCCACTCTATATTCCTACTGAAGTATTTTAATACACTTACTAATTTAAGACCACCCTCTATACTAGATACCTAATTATATGGACTTATTTAAGTTCAAATGTAGGCAACTCATTTGTTAAATCACTGGAAATCATTACAAAATCTGCTGTTGCTTCCAGAATATTTGAGAAATATAAATCATATAGCATTTTTTATAGAGAATAACCATGCAAAAACATAAGTAGAGAACTAAGTGATTCACTTGAAAACATGCAGAAAATTGGAGAGGCGATTAATACAGTAGATTAGGACACATGGAAACATGCAGTTTCAGACTTGGTTTACCTTGTAATAACAGGATTGTGTATACCATATAAATGCTCTTTATGATAACCATTATTACCATTTTCCATACTGTAATAAAATAAATACACCAAGAAAAAACATGTTAACTATAAGATGCACTATGTACAGTATGGCTTCCAAGACATGTAAATGGATGATGGTATTATATGCAAAGGTAAACTGTTTATGTACAATAAAAGGTATCTTTTCTTTTGTAACATTCAGGAGTATACAGTAACTATAATCTTAATATTCTCCAAAAATTAATTATTAAGATATTTCTGTAGACTTGGATAGTCTAATGTAAAGTCTGGTGAAACAGACTTTGTTACTTCTGTTGAAGTAACAAGTTAAAAGAAAAATATAAACCCTCCCACCTGCATAAAGTAATTTTACCAAATACCAACAAAAATGTCTTACTTTTCCAAGGGTATAGTTTCAACACTAAAAAACACAAAAAAGGAGTCGTTAACTAGACAACAAAATAAGTAAATAATTTTAGCTGTACATGCCTGTTTCTGCTCTACTGACTTCTGAATGTGAAATGAAAAATGATCAGTGTGAAACTGGAGGGATGCAGTGCACAGGCTAACTGAACAACGAGCAAAACAAAGAGCAGAAAAGAAAACAGTAAAAACAAAACTGATCGGAAAATATGTAAGAACAGTTATCATAAAGTAAAATGCCAAGTCCCTGAGACAGAGGAACTGCAAGTGAAAAAGGAAAGACTAGTTAGGAATAACTAAGACAGTAAGGAAGTAAATAGTTAATTCAAGATTACAAAGGAGGTATAATTCATATTAAAGGTAACTTAGCAAAGCTAATCATCTCTACACTAGCAGATATTTATATAAAGACTGTACATAAAGCTACGAAGACTCATTCTGAAGTTAGTTTCTCATAGTCAGAGCTGGCAATATCTACAGTCATGACAAATTGAGTTTATCAAAGTCCGTCAGCATGAAGCACTTTGCAGGCACCAACCCAAGCCTGCGGTATTTCACAAGCACGTGCAGTTCTGTCTGACAGCACAGCTTAATGATTATTAGCACCTTCATGTGAAACACCAGAAAAAATATTTAAACCCATGTGCCATTTAGCTGGCTTAGAAGCATATACTTACTCATCATACACATCCTCTGTATCCATTCTACGATAGTATTTGGAGAGTTTCACAGCAAAAATTATGGCAGGAATTAAAAATATTGAAGAGCCTCCCAAACCAAACCAGAAGGTATTCTGAAACAAAACAAAATCCCAGATAAAAAGATTGCAGAGAACGGCTACTCAGAGAACACAGCAGAAATTATTGCCTGTGCCTGTGCGCTCTCTGAGGCTCCCTACACTAGTGTGGAACAGGGCACGTTAAGCACTTCCACAGGAAATGTGAACTAAAGCATGAACAGCACTATCTTACAAATGTGGCCAAAAAGAACACTGTCCAAAGATGCTCAAATTCATACAGGCATAGTGTCCTAAGCAGTAATTTCAATGCAATCAGCACTGAGCTATAAAGTGATTTTGTCTCTCTGCATTAATTTGCAGCCACATTTTTTCTTGCTAACGTTATTATCTGTGATTCTTTAAAAACCGGAGCTTCCAGCACTTTCTCAAGCTGCTTTTTAACTTGCTAGCTGAAGCATGCTTACAAAACTTATCACACAGGCGAGGTGAGTTACTATCTGATGTTAGAATCATGATTTTTCAAATTTGATTTGAAATAGCTGGAGGCATTTTGACCTATATGTGACTCAGCTAAGTTCTATCACTGTGAAAACTGTAATCCATTTACCACTGGATGGCTAGTTGCTACCCCAAGAACAGAAGCTCTGTAACTTACGAGTGATCCATCTGGCAGAAGATTTCATAATAAAGAATTATCAGGGTTAGAGTAGCTTTGATTGTTTGCATACATTTATTCTGTTATTACTTGGCCAAAATTGTGATACAACAAAATAATAGCTAGGAAATGTTTTAGGTGGTTCCTATACATTACTTGTTGTTGTTGCTTATTCTGTTCTTATTATATGCTTCTCTTTTGCAAGATGAAAAAGCCAACACTGGCCTTGCATACTGCTAAAAGTCATGCTCTAAGTCTACATTGTACAGGAATGATTCAATATCAGTCTGTTGCAAGTCATGTGATAAAAAAAAATCCTTTTGTTTATTTACAGTTCAAATTTGAATAAATTTAGTAAAATAGTTAATTTTACAGCATTCTTTCTACTTAAATCCTAATTTTAATGAAAACATAAATCAAGTCCAGCGTTGGTTGGTTGATCCAGATTGGAACGTTCTTTTCTTGAATAACATTGGATGTGATCCTTTATCATCATACTTAAAATGGTCTAGATGAAATAATCAAATGTAGATTTATGTTCAAAGACTTTTCCACTTGGTGTCCTGATTTTGAGTAACAAAAAAGATTTCTTACCACAGAATCAGTTACATAGCTGCATAAAAATATATCCACTGCTGTATCTATCACATTGGCAATTGGCTTGCATGCTGCTACCTCCATGGCAATCTGAAAGACAGACATTAAAGAAAACAGTTTGAGGTACATAACAGACTAAAAGAAGAATCTCACATCTTGCTTACAGCTACAGTTACTGTTTACTATATTGTTGTCTCACTCTCTCTAAATTTAGAATAAATTCCAGTGGGATATGCTATCTACTGAATTTATAAATCTTTAAAACATCAGCTCAATTTCTCAAAGACTGAAGCTGAAGAAAGAAAAATAAAGATGCTAATGATATGATATTAATTTGAACTAAGCAGGGTCAAGCTCAGTACATTAGCACCAAGAGTAGACTGCAGGCTAGCCCTGGAAAAAAGATAATATACTAAATTTGCATTTTATTCCAGTCAGTACTACTCATGATTTCTAGTCTACTTCAAAGAAAACTATTTATAGAAGACAGGTTTCCCTCTTCATACCTAGCACAAATATCTTGAAATTACTGAAATCACAAAACATGCTATCAACATAACTTTTCTATTATTACTATTGAGTTCCTTCATGTTTTTAAAAGCAGTGTCTCTCAAAAAGCAAATGCACCTTACCGACTCCTTCACCCACTCAATGTATTGCTCAAAGTAGCCAACGATGGTGTCCATGTACTTCTTTGTTTCCTAAAATCAGACAGAAGTAAGTGAACCGTGGAAACAGCTCCATGACACTGTGAATGAATGCACTTAAATTAGATAAAGCTTACCTGGACAATAACTAGAGAAGCATTGTTATTTATGAGAAGCTGGGCAGCATTAACAGCACTAATGACATTTTTCACCTTTACCTGGATTGAAAGAAAAGGCTTTTAATATAAATGAACCCCTTTCAAGTAGTTACAGTGACTCTGCAGCCACTGCCATTGACCTATTCTCTTGATAAACCAGTAGCACTGTCCTGATAAAACTTGACAAAACATGCAATTTCAGATAGAGTCTGAGCAACTTCAGACACTAAGCCTCAGCCTAAGGATTCATGACCATCTGACAAAAACCTCACACTACTAAAAGAAGAGGAGTATCAGTGGTTATGAACAGCAACTTATGCAACTGAATTTATACACAAGACCAGCTTTCTCTTCTATTCTGTTTGGCTTATTTTTTTTCCTTTCCATAGGTCCAGAGATACTTTCATCACCTGGGACAGACAATCCTTGGGACCTACAACAGTGACCAAAATCATAAGAAAACTAAATTTAAGATTTTACTTAACCATAGAATTTAAAGCGTGCTCTGTTTCAGGACACATCAGTATATACACATGTACACATACACACACAAAGCATAGAGGAACAACTCTTGATTACTAGCTAAAGCATTCAACATCCAGAAGGTTGGACACATTCATACACTTTGTCAATACATGTGTAATCCCATCAAGTCTCCCAAAAAACATACACACATACAGCCTTTACTTGTATTTCTTACATAAACTTAAGGCTCAAACACCATCTTTTTCTTATCAGCACCTTATTTCCATGCCTCTTACACTCACCATCCAGGGTTAAAACTCATATTCTGAAATCTGCTTGGTCTGCTGTTGTGAACAGGTCAAAAATCTTAATGGGAAGAACCATGGTAGGGGAGGACCATCAAGCTGTTCTAACTAGGATCTTAAGTGCTAGCACAGCTACAGGAGCCAAAGCAGACAGGAGCCAAAGCAGACTGGAGATGACAGAAAGCTTTGCTGCCACAAAAGTAATCATCCTGCTGCTTATCCTCCTCAAGCTGGCAGAGCCTGAAGGCAGCTGGTTTCAGTATGGTGCAAGCACTAGCTGCTATTTACAGGGGAAACATGAGCTGCTCTGGAGAAGCCTTCCTACAAACCCACCTTCCCACAGTTTGGCTGATGCTGCAGAAAGAGGAAGGGGATGACTATAATGCTAAAGTCACAGGACCTAGTGGGAGCAGAACACTGGATAAGAGCTGGGTAAGAATGTGGATTTCAAAGCTCTATTTTCTCAGATGTATTTTGGGATTTTGTTTCTTGGTTGTTCTCCCACTCCAAGTTTTGCTTTTGATGACTCTATAAAAAAATCCTACCTTTTTAGTAACATATAATCACAACATATTGAACTGTACTTAAGTGTATTTTATCACCTGATAATCAAGTTTACAATCCGTGTTTTAAAAAGCATTCTATTTTACCCCTCTGTTCTACAAAGAAGGGAAGATCAAGGTAGAAAAAGCTGTGCAGAAGAGATGTGTGAATCTCTGTTACCACCTCAATGCATTAAGTAGCTTTGTAAGAACAGAGCAACCAGAAAAAGTAAAAGCTGTACTGAAAATATACTCTATGCATATGTGGTGGATGATTTAAAAAGCAATAAAATGTTTCTGCTGACAGAGAGAAAAGCTTACCATAAGTTCAGATGATGTCCTCTTCAGCAGCCTAATGCTCTGATTTAAAGTGCTCTATTAGAGAGAAGGAGAAGAAAAAAAATTAAAGATTTAGGTCATCCCTGTAGGTAAGAGCATACTTGTTTTAACACTGCATGTATGCTTTGATTCTGGACTGATTATTTTGTTTCTAATATGACATAACACATTGTATATAGTAAATGCAGTTGAATTATCTTAAAACTAATATATTGTGTTTTTAATTGATTCAATATTTCCAAAAGAACTAAGTAGCTATAAATTATGTATTGGAAGACTTCAAATTAACTGAAAACTAATAGCAATACAATGAGAAAGATTTATCTGGGGAAAGAAAGAACAGTGAAAAGTCAGAACTGAGCCTTCAGAGTACTTCTATATTGTGCATTCTTAGAAGGGAAAAAGCACTTACCCTAGCTTTAACATATTTCTTGACAGTCAGTTTTGTTAAAGGAAAAAGAGATGAGAATAATTAGGAGTTAATTAGAAAGAACAGCATTGAATCAGAGGCCTAATGACTTTTTCTTTTTTTTTTTTTACAGGCCTTTGATAGGGGCAGCAATACTATATCTGATGCTGAGATAAAATAAAAGCCTTCACATCATGTAGAGGAAAAAGCCAACAGTTACAAGCTGCATGAATGAGACTCACAGCTGGATGTGATACAGATCAGTGCCTGGCAAAAGCAGTCAGAAAGAGCCCTTTCACATCTTGTACTGCATCAAAAAAGATTTTTCTTTGGCTCTAAGTGCTACTATTAGGGGCTCCAGTTCCAATGTTGGTACATCACTGTGAACTTCAGGAAATAAAGTGTAAAAGTCATAACTGCTTTTATAACAGATGACAAATGATAAGGAAAAAGGAAAAGGAGTGATTTAGGGTTAGAATTTTGGAAAATTCTCCTGCTTCATCTTCTATTCATATATAATCACAAAATAGAAAAAAAAGAGCTCCCAATATTAGACAGTATTATAAGGTAGAAATATCAGAAGTAGGTTAAATATTTATTAAATGCACACTTTACCCAGATTACTCTTTGATGACAATATAAATGTAATCTGTGCTTACATACTACCAACTACAGCTTTCTAAACTGTATTCAAGATTCAGGGATTCATATTTTTTTTTTTACAAATATGTTTAAATATCAATTTAATATTTTACCATAGCTTGCTCCAGTGGAACAACTTGCTGGCTATGAATCATCCGAATGCTGTTTGCGTGTCCTTTTAAGGCATTTTCCAGTGCTCCTTTTGGCTGCAAAAAAAAATGAAATTATGCCCTATTGTTCAATAGTTTCACCCCTTTCAAATAAAGGAAAAAAATACAAACTGCAGTGCAAATTGCACAATATTTGCTGCAGAAGAGCCAATGCTAACAACAGGATACAGCAAACTGAACTCAACATAGAGAAGGGAAAAAATCACCGTATTAATGATTCAAAGCTCAGTAATGAAAGCACGCATATTAAGCTGCTTCTCTGTCTGTATCATCACTGGTTTCATAGAAGGGAATTTCCAGAGTGCACTGTTACTTTAAAGAGGGAAGGGGGAGCATCCCCCTGCTACTCTGCTCTGCTCCGGCCTGTCCCTGGTGCAGGGGTGCCCTCCACTGGGACGAGTGTTCCTCACTGATGCTCACTGCTTTTATTTTCTGCAGTATGGACAAGGCTCCTGCCTTCTGAAGCGCACAGAAGTTTCAACACTTCCAGTCAGTAAACTGGGAATGTATCATCTGTGAAGGATGCTGTTCCTTTGAGCGGCTTCCATTGCTCAGTCAAAAGATGTGCTCATAGCCTGGTTTTGCAGCCTGCACACACACCTACAGCTCACGGCAACATACTGTAAAATTTGATTTCAATCTCATAAATACATTTATTTTCCATTTCTTTTTCATGGCAAAGTCACTTGGCTCCCATTGTTAACTCCATTTTGGAAATGGAAGAATTTTAGACCTAGACACTGCTGAGAAATCATTAAACACTGGGGATGGTGGGCAAGGTAACTGTGGGTCTGTCTCCACAGGACACAGTTCTGAGGATTCAGAAACTGCTGGAACTGCAGGAAGAGCTGCCCTGAATGCAAATCCAGACTTGTTTAGAGTTAAGACCTCTTTCAGGAAAATGTATTTCAAGATGTTTTACCCAAGACAGTCTAACAGTGCAACTTTTACTGAGAAAACTTCAGCAAACATTTTGTACTGATCTGGCAAATACAAAATGGAAAGAGCCATTGTTTCATTTGTTGCATTTGTTGAAAACGTGCCTTTTTTCAAAAATTATCTCAGGAAAAGATGTGCTAGTGAAATACCAGAGAAAACAAATGACTAAGTGAATGGCCATGTTAATTTTGCTTGAAGACAATGACCTAAGAAATAGATGTACTGTAAAACCAAAAAGCAAAAGAACAACATTTTTAGCTGCACGGCTTGCAGGTGTTGATGTGCAGACGTGTTTGCTTCCTGGAAGTATTCATGTGAGCAGTTATTTCAGGTTACCTCTCTGTTCTGAGAGGCAAGAGTGCTCAATACTGAAGTAAGGCTACAGAGCAGCTTCAGCGTGCTTTGTACTGACGAGCTGAATCCCCTTACCTAATAACATCCATGGGCAATATTGCTCCCTCCTCCACACCATGGTGTCTTGGTTTGATTGAAGTTTTTTTTTTTTCCATTTCAGTGTTAAAACATGCATTTCGTGTTGTGAAGAGTGCCAGAGAATTCAAACTAAATGCTCAAAGTCAACTCCAAAAGTTTTTAGATGCATCTATTCTCACTTCTAATGCTTCCTTTAGTGTCTATTACAAAAAATAATGAAAAACCAAGCTGCCAACAAAATGTATTTTCCTTCATGGATCTAACTAAAGATCTAACTAACAACCTTTAAAGAGACATCTCAATTCTATTAAGACACAACATGTCTGAAGAATCTCAGCTTCCACTTAAAAAACAGCCTCTCCAAACAAAAACTTTCCATCTGATAACCTTTAAAAAGGCAGAATAAAAATGGAAAATGGAAGTGTAGTGTAGCCAAAGCTATTGGTATCAGTTCCAGTTAGCAGACATCCTAAGTGGGTAAAAAGGCAACATGTGACTCACCCACTGTGTTCAGAGGATAACTACAACACAAAAAAATCATGAATGCAGGTCTGACGGAAAAATAAATGCGACAGAAGTGATTAATTTATGTAGAAACACAACAGTGACCTTTACTAATGCTGCCCTCTCTCGGGAGAAAGGATGGAAATCTGATGAATTCCAAACAGCAAGGTCTCACTCTGCTGTCTCTGTCCTTTTGTGATCCTAACTCCCTCTCCCATACCACAGTGTGGGGATTTGTCTTGGGCCAGAGCAAGGTAATCCGGTGTCCAAACTGACTCTCATTTTGAAAAATAAATGGAAGGTGATCTTGACACAGATACAAACAAATCAATCACGTATTTATTATCTGTTAACACAGCTGTGTCATTCTGTGCACATTCATCTGTGGGCAAGTTGTTCTAACCTTTCAGCAATGCCAGTGTGTCTACATTCAAAAAGTACTACATAACAGACTGGATTTCTTTTGTGAATTTTGCCTCCACAGTGGAGGCCCAGTTCCCAAGAGAGGCCTTATGAGTTACAATAGTATTTATTTCCTTGTAAAATCTTCTGCTCAGTAACTGAAAGAAAACTGATTCAAATCCTGTTTTCCATCATGAACTAAGCAATTTTTCTGCTGTCTGAGACATAAAATATAGAAAACATCACAGGAAATACTGCAGTGGACTTAAGTGACTTCTTACGGAAACTGTGCAGCTTCATAAAATTAAATTCCAAAGCAGAAGTTGTACAACTGTTAATATACAAAACTCAAGGATTAGTTCATATACAACACTGTTTTATCAAAGTGTTTCTTCATATGACAATGAACCAGGTATATGTGCCCAAAGTACAAGAACCCTCCTGTACAAAGTCTAAATACTTGGCAATATATAATTAGTAAAATGCAAGAAATTATTATATTGCTGAATTATACTTACCAGCTGGTCTGCTCTTGCTTCTAAGTCATTAGCAAATGACAAAAGATCAACCTTGGTAACACTTTTATTGATCTAAAACAAGATTTGAACAGCACAGAAAGAAAAGAGTATTACTGCACGTGCAGAATGCACTTAATCACATCTCTTACATTGTCCATCCTTCATTTCTTCAAATGTTTAATGAACTTAACTTCTTAAATGCTTTAGCACCAAGTTTTATGCATCTTCAATACCTCCTTTTCCAGACAAAGGCAGATTTGTCTCTGTTTTGCCCACTTTTATTTTTATGCTTCATTCCAGCTACGTACCTAGATTATGGTGGTCTCACCTCTGTCAAGTATGCTCCAAAGTTTATCCCTTCTATTCCTGAAGAGCTGAAATTCAGAAGATTCTCTTTCCCAATTTCATCCAGCAGAATGATTTTGCTGAGGTTTATCTGAATGTGTTCAATTCTAAGCGTTACGTCTTCTGTATACTGAGAAGGAAATAAAACACAGAGGTAGTTTGCACCTGGTACATCTCTGTATCCCTTCTCTCATATAAAAGCATCTTTCTTTTCCTGACTGATCACTTCCATGAAGAAGCACACAAACAACTTCCCTTTCACTTACATCTGGTTAGTTTCATTAACTTTTCCAGAATCCAGGTTAGGTTCCTCCCTTCCCTGTGGTATCGACACAGCCTGTCCATGGGACATTCTAGCCCACCCGTGCAGCTTTCATTCCAATGAATTACTCCCTTCCCAGCCTCTACTACTATGCAAACTCAGACAAATGTCAGTAACTTTTACTCTTCACTGTATAATTACCATATATTATAAATGCATTGTATTGTATGAATACATATATATGTATATATATAATGGATATTATATATTATCTGGGACAAAGACTATACGTATTAAGTGTAGAAACAACACTTGGCAGAATGGAACGCAGACTCCAAAGTGTTGCTGTAAGGCAGGACTGTATTACTGACAACCAAAAATTAACACACTCATGTATTATTACAGCTTAACTGAAAATATTTTATCTTATCCCTCTCTCCTCTCTTCCAAAGCTGGAAACACTCTTAAAAGCATAGCATATTGTGTCCAAGACCACATAAATATGATTGGAATTCTTTTTAAATTAGGTTGGACAGTTTTGTCTCCTTGCAGAATGTACTGCATATTAACATCTAAAATCCTTTAAAGCTCGGACAAACTACATCATGTTCAAGACCAAACACCTCTTTAGCTCTCAAAAATATTCATGAACCCACCGAAACTTTCCTTACTTACCATACTAATATTCAAAAATTCATTGATATTGAACAGGTGGTCCAGATGAAGGGAAGTATAAATTCCTTTGTTTTCCTTGCAATCACTACAAAAATAAAAATACATGCGTCAGCCTGGAAATCACCTTAAGGACAGAGAGTAAAGAGAACAATTAACAATATTTTCACATTTGAAGAAAACCAGTCCCTTAAAAAAGTGTTCTGGCTATATTTTTTGAAGCTTTGTCTATAAGAACACAAGTAATTAGCAATTTCTGATGGTCTCAAAGATATGAAACAGTATTTTGAAGAGCTCAACTGCTGCTGTTACACCATATTACGTTAAGATCACCCCTAACAACTCATTGATAGAAGATCACTTTTGCAAGCAATTCACCAGAAAATCAGAACATGGTCTGGGCCATGTGAGATTTGTGTGTGTGCCTGAAATATAAGGCTGGAGTATAATACAAAACCCAGATATAAATGGAACTAAATCTTGACCCACAGTTTCACATACCTGTATACTTTTTCAAAAGTCAAGTTAATATTTGGATTTTTAAAAAGAATGCCAGAAAGATAGTTTTTCCAATGCTGATTTAGTAAGTAGGGAGTATCCAAAACCTACGAGACAAAATTCAGTGATGTTACTGTAATACTGTGTTTTCACTGCATGAGTATATTCCTATGTGATCTTTTGACACATTTCCACATCTAAGCTTATCACTTGCTGATGGAAATAAAAGCAGAAGAGCAAATTCAACCTCTCTGGTGTAGAAAGTGGATATTAAAGCTCCATGTCACCAAGAAATGCTAAATTACAATTCAATTTATCTCCGATAGAAGACAGGCATGCAGTATTTACATGGCAAAGCAAATTAAATAAAAAAAGGATGAAAGTCTCCACTCAATGTACAAATGGAAAGTAAAAAACAGATCCAAACTCACTTGAGGTGTCCCCAAAAGAATAATAAACCATGCATAACTGACAAGACCATTAAGACTTACAGGGAACCTATTCATTGTTCAATAATTTGAATATGAGTAACTTCACCTTGAATAAAGTTTTATCTTCAAAGGGCTCACACACCAGTTTTTCTATATTTCCACCTGTGACAAAAGTAAGCACCACTACAATCATCAGCACCCAGGAGAAAAGAAAACTGAATCCAACGCCACTGAAAAAGAAATAATTTACATAAGTTTTTGTTTTTTAAGAAGAAAATGTACATACTTTGATTAACAGTGAAACCAATGATAAGCAGCTGTAGCATTTTTAGAGAATAAGGCCTGGCGGATGGCAAAAATGCTTTTATTTTCCAAGAGCTGTCTGAAATTTCTTGAATGTTCCAGTCCTGGAAAGTTTTCAGTTAGAGTGCAGCTAAAATAGCAACACTCAACATTGCAGTTGGCATGAAAAGTCCTTTAAGAGTTAAGAGCAACAAAAGCATATAGATTTCTTTTTTAAATCCAAATCTCTGCCCCTGTGCTCTCAAAAGACTGTAACACAGATTTCAGATGCTATCTTCTGCACACCACACAAATGATACTAAATTCCTTCTGGGAACTTTCAAGAGCAGCCCCAAACCTTCTGAAGTGACTTGATAAAATCATGTGTTTGAAGCCTCCTCATATGGCTTATTTTCTTTTATTTATTTTGAGCAAGTGCTTCAATATATTAAAAAAAAAAACAAAAAAAACAAAAAAAACAAAAAAAAAAAACCAAAAACCAACCCTATAAATTCCATTTATACTTTCAATTATTTGATACAGTTCTGGAGTTTCCAAATGAGTTTACACTGACAGTCACTACCTATAACACTTTTCATACAAGAGTAGATTCAGATATGATCCTCAACGAAAGAGCAACCCAAGGCCTAACTGTTTCACTGAAAGTATGTTAGGTAAATGTTGATGTTCTAATTATTTCAGAACATGTACATTGGTAATAAAAATTCTCTTCATACATATGACCTTTAAAATCAATTTAAAAAAAAAAACAAACAACACTCTACATGTATTTTCTTTTTCACAAGTAAGTGAAACTCACGCCATAAGAAAGTTTCCTCCAGTGTTGGAAATGCAGCCTCTGGTTGTTGGAGAAGCATGTTTATCATAACCACAGGTTCCACATAGCAACCCAAGATAGTAAAAGATCACAATCAGGACCACCATGCAGCAGAGAATGAGACAACCCAGCCACCTAAGGAATAAAGCCCAAATGCCTGGTTATGTGCAAATAAAGAACACACTGCAGAACACTTCAGGCAGTGCTATATTCCTCAATGGCCCATCTGTGGTTCTTGCTGGGCAACAAGTATCAGCAAAAAAACCCCTCTTTTCCTACACCGGCATACATTTTGGGCTAGGAATCCAATCTCTGATTACAGACTACTGAAGGGCTGGGGAACAAACCTTACAGGTGTTCTAAGGTCCAGCTGCTATATGCTGCTTGTACTGCAGTGTCAAACTCGAAGTGAAACAAACCATGAGAATCTGCCTCTGCTGCGTCAAATGGTAATTTGTTGAAGAAGCAAATGAGACATTTATGTGTACGGATTGGTGATTAGTCATGAAGTACATAACTGCTTTTGCTGTAGGCCTTACTACATTTTGCTCACCATTATGTTGGGCCTGAAATTGAAAATAACTTTATTTGAAGCTGTTAAAACCTAGACTTTATGTATGTGTTCTGGAGTGCTTTCAGTGAGCACCTTATGAGCAGTTTATGGAATTTGATCAGGAGAAAGATGTCGGTAAGAACAGAACTTTAGCTCTTTTTAATAAAGTTATGAAATATTTCCAAGTCACATATATGGAGCACATTCATTTATTCACATATTTCATATCTCCTCCTAGCTTTTTATCCTCCCCCAATTCCCTGTGCTCTTTCTTTTTGCTTCCACCATCAATGTTCCCAGCTTATATTTCTGACATTCCTTTTCAAGTCTCATCACAAAAACTTAGCAGGTAATGAATAGGCTAAGGGAAAGGTTATTATGACTACAAAAAAGGGTTCTTAAGGTTCAGCCTCCTTCTCACTTTCATTTAACACTGCATTAAAACCATTGGCACATGTATTCTGTAGCAGTGAAGTAGTTTAAAACACAAGCAGATTTTGATAAAGGGTCAAGAGAAATGTCAAAATATAGGGAGAACTTGATGAGCTTGAAGATTGAAATAAATTCTAGACAAAGTAAACAGTTTGAAATAAAAAGCTTTATGCTTCAAAATATGAAATTATTTTTCAATTATAGAAATCATACAGGTCTCAAACAGAAAGAATGTGTGTAATAGACCCAAGGACAAGTACTACATCAATTTGAACAAGCATAAAGATTCACAAAGTGGGAAGCAAAATCTATGCTACTACTACTTTGCAGTAGGAAGTCCAGCACCTTGCCTGCAACTCAACAAAAAGAATTCCCAAAAAAAGGAGTTACCCTAGAATTATGAAACTATCTGTTTCTTCATGTATTACATCTTCTGACGTATATCCTTCCTAAAAAAGATAGGAAAGCCTGCAGAGTAGAAGTCATCTCTTGCTCTGTACTGGAACAGCACCCAGCTTGATTTGCTGCAGTCAGGGTCTTTACTAAAACACCCAAAAATTTGCCTTACAGCATCTTGATTTCACTCTTCATCATTAATAGTTTCAATGCCCTTTCAGAATATTAAAATATTACATTAACACATTAGTTACATGCTACTGCATCAACTGTAGGTAGCACTTCACTCCTGCACTGTTTCCCATTTAGTATGTTCGTACCTGTAGAAATCATACTGCTCCACTACTGGAAAATAGTCTTGAACATACGCTTCACTCTGTGTCAGATATACTGTCAAATCTGCTATAATCTTCTGGACAGGGAGAGTTTTTGTGAAGTTACTGATATTTGAACCGATGGATTCCAGCACATTTTTGATATCTAAAAGAACAAATGTATTTCACTATTACAGATTCACAGAAGAAATTTACATTCCATGTACGCACTATAAAATGCTGTTAGGCCTTTCTGCACATACACCAAGGCAAGCCATGGAGACAAGCATGAGGAAAAGACAAGCAAGCAACAAAAGCATTTAGCTTCAAAGTAACACAATGGCATTTAAAAACACACACTTTATATTTAGCATTCAGTTTAATGATGAAAGATGTAGATGTTGAGCCAGAATCGCTTATCTTGCCAGCTTAAATCTTGCTTTTCATGCAACACTGCAAATGGTAACGCTGAGTGAGACAATTAGCCACCAGGTTTATGAAAGAGAAGATCAAAATCTATTTAAACTTCACCCCTTGGGAACACAACACTGAAACAAATTAGACTGCTTATATTGATAATCTATACCACTTATTTCCAATCTCATTTAAAAAGATTAGCTAAATTCATTCCAATTAGTTAGCAACACTCTTGAGATAAAGATCAATTAAGCCAATTTTTTTCCCGAATTATGAAGAAACCCTGTGTTTACGATTTAGATACACACTACTTAGATACACAAAGATGTGATTCATTCACTTATCATACATATTCTTTATTTGTAAAATGCAATTTCTGTCTACTCTTCCCCTTATCTCAACTTGGAGAAACTGCAGAATGTGTAACTGGAGGTTGCTACTTGGTAGTACGCAGCACCTTCATAGAATCACAGAATGGCCTGAGCTGAAAAGGACCATAATGATCATCTAGTTTCAACACCCCTGCTATGTGCAGGGTTGCCCATCACTAGACCAAACCACTTCCTCCTACTCCAACAACAGCTGGACATGTTTTCAGGTGTGTGTTCTGATGTTTCTCTTCCAATCAAGCTCAACCAGGTACCAAAATGCTCATTAAAAAATTAATAAATGAACATGAAATTTCTCTAGTAGAACTACTGGTTTTGTTTGATTTGATAATGAAATTCAGTTTTTATAATAACAAAAAAGTGCAGAAATAATAATGGATAAATTAAGATGGTCTGTGTTTATGGATATTGGCAGTTATTGAAAATGAGCAAATCTGTTAGATTTCCTAATGAAAAGTACATCACATTTTTAGAAAACTGGCTCATTTTAGGCAAGTTCACACAGTATACTACAATTCTATACATACTGTGTTTTATTTTGCCAAAAAAAAAAAAAAAAAAGAAAAACTTACAAGGAACAGCTGTATATTTATGCAGAACAGGTCCACAATGCAAGAACAAAAATTAAAACAGATTAGTATGCATACATTATACTACATTTCAGTCAGTGTCAAGTGTCCAGGTACTGTCAAAAAATCACAGTTCAAAGCCAGAGTAATAAAGCATTATCAAACAGGCTTTACGGTCCATGTTTTACCTCTCCTTTGACATCTGCTACGTTTCAATTCAGCAGCAGGCAGGATCAGCTAGTTGTTTTGTTGCTGTGGAGTTTTTTTATTTGTTTGTTTGTTTAAACAACTAAACAGCTAAATACATCATAGATACACCACTGCTCATGCAAACTAGTCTTTCAACCCAATAAAAGTAAATATTAGAATGCAGTTGGGATCTCACCATTTCTCATTTCTTGAGTAGTACAATGCCCAGCAAACAGAACTCTTCTTCCATAAAATAGCACATGGTCTATTTTCAGACTATATTTTGGATCTTACATTGAGATGTACTTACTTTCTATGCTTTTCATGGCACCAAATCTTAAAAGAAGATTTAAACTTAATTTTTGATACCCTTTAGCCCAGGAAATATATTATCAATAAAAGAAAACAAATGCATCCATAACTGATGCAAAAGCATTAACATTAAACAGTTGAAGTGGAAAGGCAGTTTCCATTGTCCTTACCTGATAAGATGTTCTTAGTCTGATTCACTACTAAGTCTGGAGTATCATTAAATGCTGCATAACCCTAAGAACAAAAGTTGGAAAAATTAGAATAAGCTTCTCATGGACACATTACTTGCAACTTTTTCCACTGTGACTGAAAGTCCACACACGGTAAAATACACATGGTAATACAAAAAAAAACATACCTTATCACTGCACATTAGAAAAGGTCAAAGCAAAATATAAAGTCAGGTGCATTTCAGATTTCATTCATTCACCAGGATATTCCTTATAAAATCTCTACATTTAATTACACACACATCAGTCACCATCGTTTCAAACTTTATAGTACTTTTGCTTGACACTTCTCACTCCTACAAAACTAACACGTACAAGAAGACTCACTAAGTGAAGGGAGTTACTACATACCAATAAAACACCCTCTGCAATCCTAAGTGTTTGTTACAAACAATGAAATCCAGCTACCTCTGATAACACTGTAATCTTCAGTAAGAAGGGGAGAGGAAGGATTAATGCTGTGGGGACCAAGCTCAGTAGCTCACACTGACAGAAGGAAGAAGCTACTGCAGTGGAGGCCTGAAGCTTTTTCCTGCACACCTGATCCCTTCATAGGCAAGCAAGGGTGCAGGTCTCCAGCACACAGCCTGCAGTCCCCTACACCGTCCTTTTATTCCTAGCAAATATTATCAGATTGCTAGGTTCTTACACTGCTCTAACTACTCCAGATTTGCAAAAATACTAATAGTAATTGCATTAGATCCACTGTACTAGATTTAAGATTGAATATGCGCATTTCAAGATGACGGGAATAAGCTACAGTTGATTAGAAGACCATGGATTTTTATTTTTTAATTATTATCTTGAACCAAAAATATAGAGCTTGCTAGCACATCCATGTTTCTGCTTTTTGCTTTTTAAGGACCGTTCTTTCAAATAGACCATTAGCTACACACTTTTGACGTGTAATATCCTGCGGATGTAAAGCACCACATTCATACTTTTAAACACTAAATCTTGGTCAAACAATGGAATAATACAGAGAGATATCTACCATGAGCAACAATGAGGTGGGAACAACAGAATTCTGCTTGGGAAAGCCAAGGGAAAACAATGGATACTCATGTATCCCAGTTTATTAATTACAAGTTTATAAGCCTGTTGTGAAACATACCTTCTGAACTAGACTAGAAAGGTCTATTTTAAGGACATCATTGACCTTCGCAAGCTGTGAGCTCACCCCTGGCAACTAGGAAACAAAAAGCATCCTTAAGTCACATCAAAGTAGCAGTCTTAATACTTTACTCAATATTTCAAAGATAGGAGTGAAGGGTAAAGAAACTAGAAAGACTGTTTGTCATAGAATCTTTGTAGCATACCCCCGAAACCTTTGTTGTACAAAAGCAAAGCTTAACTTCAGCATTTCTGGGAGGGCAGATTCTTTTCCTGCCCATAGCAGCACTTTAATGTAGCTGCTTGACACACATTTTATTCTTTTCCACACAGAAAATGAGAACAGTGACTGTAATTACCCAGAAACACAGAGTTAGTGAAGGTCACTTATCTCACAAGTGCCAGCATACACTGAGCCATTAACTTGCAGAAATATTAGCAGGCTTATTTAAGGCAATCACACTGTGAGTCTGAAAACACTCTCTTACCCCACTGAAATTGGCATTAATGTTCAGTTGATGTAATGAATTCCTGATGATATTGCAAGTTGAGGCAGCCTGAGCTGCAGCGCATGCAGAATCATTGAGGGTGTTGCTCAGGTGCATTTTAACATCTGTCAAATTTCCATGAAGCCTCTCGGTGCCTTCCTGCAAAACTTCTACAGAGACACTCACGTTTTCCAGTGCTTCCTTCGTTTCTCTGATGGCTGCAAGAATGCAACATCATTTAAAAAAAAGAAATTTGTTAGAAACCAGATACCATTACAGAGGGAAAGTGTAAATACACATGTGTAAACACTATGAGCTTCTTGACAATACTGATTTAAATTATCTTTCCATCCCACCCAGAAAAACCCTCTAGTACCAAATACAAGTTTATTGTTCATAAAAACAGATTAATTACATTCTCCTACAAACAAATTAATGTGCTCAACCTACTTTTACTGAGATTCTACCCACTTTTCAGATTACTCTTTTCTACTAATTCCCTCTTTCTTCTAACCTGGTTGTTTTAATAAAGAATTTCAATGCTTGGTTATCAGAAAACAAAAGAAAGCCCATATCCACAAAATAGTATTTTTAAGGTCAGTTGTAGTGCAGTTCAAGAATTACATGGCTGCACGAGGAAAGGAAAAGAGATCAAGTTGCATCAGCTAAGCACTTATGCACATTAACACTTGTCTGCCTTAGATTTTGTCCCAATCACACAAAAGAACGCTAAACACTAGTTTTAAGACAAAAAAACCACACAACTAAAAATGCACAAATGTACGAAAATAAAGCACACTTCACACAACACAAGGTTCTCTCTCTTTTTTTTTTTTTTTTACCTTTGATAGCCCTTTCCACTTTGACTTCAAGACAAATAAGAGAAATAAAGCAAAAAAGGAGAATGATAATGAATGAACGAGAAAGGATTCCAAAGAGAATTCATGGATTAAAAAACCCACCAAGTGACACACGTTTAAGGATGATTTTCACTTTACTCTATAATGTGTACCTGATTCCTGAAAAAAGAAAATCTTCAAAAGAAAAAAGAATAAAGGAATATTTTCTTTAAAGGGAGATGGAACAAAGCACAAACAACATTGAACTGAAAGATACAATTAAGAAATGACGGTTGTTGGCACTCTCATACTAGGTTTGACACTGATGACACTCAACCATAGACCTGTCAAAGACTAACCTGCAAAGAACTACAGACAGATCTGAGAGCACAGCTTTCCTAGTCTCCTTTATAATCCCTGGAAAGGGACAAGCACCTGAAGTGGGGATTGCAGATTTCATTTGCCTTCAATGACTGCTGAAACTAGACATCAACAATGGCACTTACGTCTTTGTTTACTTTTTAAATACATTTATAAATCTCAGAATATTGGATAACTACATTTTAAAAGAAACATCAAGGCATTGAAAAATGGACCATGGTACTGCATAAAGCAATCTCATGTTGCACACCAAAAAAATGAAGCTTGTCTTAGGGTGGCAACAGAATATTAATACAAGAACATGCACATCTTTACCTCCTGCCATTGTCAAAGCTGCATCAAGTGCGGGACGTACTTCTTTCCCCAGCTGCTCTTGAACTCTGCTACCAAGCAAAGGTCCAACATCTGCAGCACAGAGAGATGAAAAAATCATCACATCCTAGTTCAGCTTTAACTACTTTTTAGTATAGGTGCTATCAATCTCTTACTGAATGAAGTATACATAAGGGACTACAATTTCTCTAAGGCCTGACACAGTTTTTTTAATGGCAATTACTACCTTTTATGGAAACAGATTTTCTTCACAAGTAGTCTTAACAAGGTCTAACATCTGACAGGAATTTTGTGGCATACTCATTCACTATAAGCTATGGTTTTGTTGTGCAAGAAAAAGAAGAAAATAGTTTCCCATTCCTGATGTGTCAAGGTGACCCACAGCCCAGACCTGACAACCATCCTCACCAAAATCCCTTAAGCGTGTTATGCATGGCTGCCAGCCTGCCCTCAGCATTCAGTGCTGGCTTCAGGCTCACACAGATCCATCTCCTCCCTCCAAGCCCTGCTGCCTCATTGCCCACAAGCAGAAATCATCTTAGTTCAGCAAAAATGAGAAGGGGCGGATGCAGACAGATGCAGAGTTGAGATTGGTGAAGCATCATAATGCAACTTCAGGTAGTTGCTGGGTCTCCTCTGTATTCAGGTTACTGCAAACAGCTCTTGGAGCTTTTGCTCCTGATGAGATTGGAATACTGAATGCTACAGAAGCATCCATTACTGTCAAGACTGCCATTTCTAGCTTGGGATGCGAATTTTTATCAAGCAGAAAAGACTTTTCAGCGTTTCCTTAGGGTGGGCAAACCGAATTCATCTACATTTCTCTCAAGGTTTATTTTACTGTTGATTCCCTTTTAATGAAATCCTTTTGTCCTCAGGTGTCACACACTTAATTCTGGTATCTCAGTACTGTACAAGAAAATAAAAGCTATCTTTATTTATTGATGAGCACTCCTATCACAGATCCAGTGTGTTAGTTCCCATAAGCTAACATATTAAACTTGCACCGAAAGTAAATAAATATTTAATTTGAATTCTTGGTTTGAAAGCTAGAAGCTAGTACTTGAAGTGCAGATATTAATTTATTTTTCAGCTAGTGTTCTTGTTTTTAAAGGCTTACACAATGCCCAGTTTTTTTAGATATGAGTGTTCTTGCACGGAAATAGTTAGGAATATGTGCAAATACTGCTTTGGCTACTGCCTTCAGAGTGCTTTAGTAATCCTTAGTAGACACACTGACTTGAAGGTATGTCAAGCTTGCTGCACTGAAAACTGTCATTATAACATGCTTTAAACTGATACCAAAGTATAGACTCTAGGAATCAAAAGTTACTATCTTTGCTTCCAGCAATCCTGTTCACAATCAGTTTTGGTATTTCTGCACTGCACTTCAGTCTGAAATGCAGACCTGTACACAAGCTGACATCCTTATCAGTACATGTTAATAATGTATACTGAATTCTAATCTACACTGAATATGATTGCCCTTTTCTATTATCACCATTTTTGAAAATTCTGAAAAAGTTCAGTGGTTTGGTTCTGTCTGTTTATTGAGAGGTTTAAAAGGTGATGCCTCCTATCATGACTGTACTGAAGGAGAAGGTGAAGCAATTGTATTTCAAGTGTTATTTCTTGTTCTTCAACTGCTCATCCTGAAATGCCAAATACAATAAGCAGCTTTGGAAAGAAGATAAATGTGTATCTCAACTTCTAGCTGAGCAGAAGACAAAGAGACAACAACAAAAATAAACAAACGCAGAGATCTACAGTTATTGTAACCACAGCAACAGCTAACAGCTCTTCTCCTTCACATTTGGCTCCACAGTAAAAACTCAGGAATAGTACTCTAAAAAAACACAAGTATTAGTGGTTACTGCATTGTAAAAAAGGGAAAAAATACTGCCTTGATTTATTCAGTAAGCAATTTAACAAAAGACTTATTTCAGAAAATAGTCTGCATTACAACAGCTCCAAGTCATTTTATACGGATAGAATCTCAGATTTTAGTCTCATTTAACACTAAGAACAATCATTATGTTTGCAAAACATATAATTTAAATTTCACTTTGCATTATGAGCTGTTTACATTATCTTATTGAAGGCTTTCAGTAAACAACACATCACTAACCCCCTCTAAATCAAAGTACTTACTATTTAGGTCAGAGAGCGCTTTATCCTTAGTTGTGTTGTACTGGCTCACCAAGTAGTCAATTTGCTGAAAAAAAAAAAGATGATATGAAAAACCATTAAAGTAATTGGGGAAAAAAAAAAAAAAAAGTAATAGTTTCAAATAATGAGTCAGAAATTGCCACTCTGAAACAACCCAAATATCTGTGCAGCAACCCTCTCCCTTCCCCCAAATTCTGGAGTTCTACTGCTTTCAGTTAACTAAATATTTTAAAACCCTGCTTGGCACAACTGCACATAAAAAGAAGGGTTTTATTGGGAAACACTGGAAGATCTCTGGGGAAAAAGACTCAACGTAAAAATGTTAAGTGGCAGGAACTGTGCAATACAAAGACTTCAAGTCAGTCAGGCACAGTATGTTTCTGCATGTCTTCATCCTTCTGATTTGATTTTCTAGTAGAAAAAGATGATTTCTCTTGAAATAAGAATTGTGCAGCAAATTTATGGGATAGTGGTTCTGAAGCAATTCACAGTCTAGACTGGCTTTTATGGGGACAGCCTGCCAGAGTTTCCCTTACAAAAGAAGCTGGTCATTCTGCCTTAACACAAATGGTTTTCACTGACAAACAGATCTGGTCCAATTGCAACTTGGGTTCTACCACGGCACTGTGTCAATATGAAATATCAACTTAGTTATCACCAGTTCCTGGTTCTGTACAAAAGGCTATTAAATAACTATTCCTGGAGGAAATCTTGCTACAGGTATGAAGTAACATTGATTTCTACATGTTCAAAGTAATACAGTGTGAATCCTAAACGAGTCATGCAGAAGTTAATATGCACAGTAAACATGCTTCCAATTCTGAACAGAAGTGACTCAGATGTGCACAGAAGTGTATTTGGCTTGCAGCCTCAAGTTTTCAGTGGAGTGAAGAAAAAAAGAAACTAAAAAAACACCCACAAAACAACCCATACACCATACAGCAGTAGATGTAATTAAATCACAAAGTATGAGACAGACTCCTTTTTTTTAAAAAAAAACAAAGGAGAAAAGAATAAAAAGAGCTTTTCCTACCAAGAAAGATGTAGGCTTTTTTTGCAATGGTTGGTTAGTGTTTCCCAAGCAAACCTGATGACTAACATTTTGCAGGTCTGTAAGGCTTGCACTGTTTCCAGCAATGTCATAGACAAAATGCGATTCATATAACTAATAGTGTTAGCATCAGCATTCGTGTAGTCTGCTAATCTGCTATGACAAGAACTCTTTACGTGTGACTACTTTCAAATCCTCCTATATGTTATACACCTCATACTCACGAGGCAAGGACATCAGTTAGGATTTCAGAGCTTATAGCCAATGAATTGGATTCCACAACTTGTTAAAGAAACGGAAGTCCTTATCTTCAAGAAGTCCTTACATGAGTGTGTCTATACATGGTATCAGTGTACCTCATCTGTCAGAAATGACTTGTAAGATGTATCATCTAGTGATTGCATAATCAAGTGCTATCAAGTCTAAGAAAGAAAACTTAATTCTGCATACGAACAAAAAACCTACTACATAACTGAAACTTTGGGGAACTCCTGGCACGAATGTTCAAGTCTTGACACTTTTAAATTCCACAGTTCTAGTGTTCTTCTCAACCTTTTAGCTAGTGTCTCTTTTTTTTCTCTATTAGAATAGTTTCTTCCATGTAACAAGATCTTCTACTCTGATATTTCCTGTCACATGCCTATGACTATAATCGCTCAGTGGAGAGGAATCTAGTGGGTTCTGAGACTATCAGTTTTATCTTTCAATGCAAGCTTTCTCTCTGTGCTCCAAGGCAGCTCCACAAAAGACACCCCTGTCTCAAGAGTTTCTTGATGTAACCTCCATTTCCTGACATACACCTGCATCACCAGACTGTCACAACACATTGCTCAAATTAATCAACTTCCAATATTGAAAAATTAAACTGCGCTTCTCAGATGCAGTGTAGTTCAAAAGCTGCTCTAATAATGTTTGTTCTCAAACATGTATGGTCATGTGAAAGCTTCTAACCACATCTCATTCACTCTACTTTATGAGAGTGACACACAAAGAATTAACACCACGCTGTGGTTGTAATTTCTTTCAAACAGAAAGAAACGATTATTTTCTGCAATACTTCTTCCTTATACTTCTCCCCTCCCACCCTCATTCCCCATAAAGAAAAAATTCTTTACCGCTGGAGTGTCGTTAAGGAAAACTTTCAGATCTTTAAAATTACTGTTGACCAGTTTCTTTGCTCCTCGGACTTGACTAGTTAAGTGTTGGTTGGCAGCATATGCACAAAGCACTCCAACGCTACAAAAAATACAGATAAAATATTTATTACAGTGAATGCCTGCCCTAACATTTTAAACCAGAACAAAAGATACAGCAAAAAAACTCTAATGTTATGAAAATAAAGGTCTCCCTAAGCTTATGCTTTGTCTTTTTTACTGTGATATCTCATATCCACCACTTGACAAAGTAGAGGAATAAGCTGTCAGGGCAGATATGGTGCTACTAAAGAAAACAAAAAAGCAGTGTTAACCCACAGACTTCAGAAGTTAATAAATTTACAGACACTTACCCATCTGCACTGACAGCATCAGCAAACATGTAAATTGTATGCAGCTCATCAATGTTACACTCTTTCACCACTATCATTATTGCTGACATAGCCACAAGCAAATGTTCATAAAATGAATATGAAAAGGAATATTTTACTTTTGAAAACTTCAGCAACATTTGCTCATAATGGCTCTATTTATTTACATAATTATATACATCTTTTAAAAATAGTTCCCATTAGCTCTAAAAAACATATAAACACTTCCTGATAATAAAACAAAAGGTGGGAAGCAGAATAAGACTTCCAATCAGCACTGCCGCTAATTGCTTCCTATTGGATCATCCCCACTGCAAAATTCTAATCAAAACACAGTAGATTTGCACAAACATCAGATAAAAAGGCAATTAAAAATCCCATAAGAGCCTCCAAAATCTTTCATAGCATACAAACTACTCAGGTTTTTGTTTTGGTTTGTTTTTTTTTGTTTAACTTAGATGTAAAATAAACAGAAGCATGATTTTTTTGTTTGTTTTAAATCCATCTCATACTCACAACAGCTAACCTTTCAATTGGGAACAACCCTTTGCAGTTACAGGCACCAGGAGACAAGCAGGGCGGTCTCAGGTAGGGATGCACTGGTGAGAGCTCCAGGGCTCCAGGGCTGAGCACAAACCCACTCAATGCTGTAGGGTTTAACTGGTAGACAGCACAGAACCACTCATCAGAGGCATGACGCAACCCCAAAGGGGGAAGCACTGCCTGAAGCCAAGCAGCCAGATGCATTACAGGCATTTCTGGATGGCATATTAGTTCAGGCCCTCAGTTGTGCTGCAGTGTAACAGCTCAGCACTAGTAATTAGGCAGTATACTGAAAACAAACATTATGGACATCCAAACAACAGAAGGGAGTAACCATCACAAAAGGCACTGGGCTCCTCCCAAACTGACAAACTTCATGTGATGGCATTAAGAGGACCTAATATTTTAAAATAGGACTTTAAGGAAATGTATACTACCTCCCTACTGGGCAAATAAAATTCCTGCTCCAGAGAATTTAAGCTCAAAGTAAGCCATAATATAGGCACTCAAATGAGAAATCAGATGGTGGATGCTGAGTACCTAGAATAATGTGATACATGCATCTCAGGAAGAGAGGAGCAAACACTCTGATGAGGCTCATCTCTTCTTTTTATCAGTGATCCCAAACAAATCTTCATCTGTGTTTCGCTTTTCCTATTTTAGCTTAACCAAACACGGTTAAGGCTTGCTCTCCTTCTTTCAAGTACAAGACCTTTTGCTGCTGACAAACACTCAGTATGAAAAGTTCAGTTTTAGAGCATGACAAAGTTAGAGATGGCTTCCTCCTGTACCAAAATTGCAGCCCTGCCTTTAATGCTGACTACCAACTTCCCCAAAAGAAGTCGCTAACGAAGGGACACCAACATTCTCCTTACTACTTAACTAACAGCAAACAACAGGCAGCTATATTTCCAACATGGCCAAGCCCTTGTGCAGCCATTAACATCAGCTTCTACTACAGAACAATGAACTTAGGATGCACAAAATGCCAAGAACCTGAACAACCTCCAATGGCTTGCATTTTGTAAATAATTTACACTTTGGACACGTACAACATAATTTGTCTTCTTTCTACAGTAATGCTAATGGTTTTGAAAACATTTTTCTATTAAAACAGTCAAATATTTTTCTTCCTCCTCAAATCTGAAGGCAAACTATCTGAAGCTATCAGGAAAAGCAAACATTTGTGTGTCCCTCTGTGGACTCAGTTCATAATGCCATCTTTGTTCTTTGGGCTGCCAGCATTTTTATGCCTTTTCAGAGTTATGCTCACAGGCTAGAAAGGTCAATTTCAAGCTAACAAAACAGTACTTTGTGAGATTTGAGCATGATCATTTTTCTCTTCAGTCTCCTAAATGGAAGGGGTGGGAGGACATGGGACAGGGGGAGACACTTTATACAGCTGATGTATCCGGAACAACTGCAGCTACATTCTGAATGCAACTAAACAAATACACAGCACGAGAGAGGAAAGAAAAATCTATTTATTATATAACTGAACCTTGAGTCAACATTCAGTAAGCAGCTACAAGGAGAAAAGCATAAAGGAGGAAGAAAAAGGATGTCTGACAACTGTTTAAACAAGCTCCTCAGGAGTCGGATCCTCTATGCTCAGTTCCTAGTCAGGTGTCATCAAGATACAGAAGTCACTACTCCAGTTACAGGGGGGTCCTAAGCCTTTTCTTCAGCTGTGCTTGTTAAAAAAATTCAACTCACAGAATAGAAACAGAACTGATTTACATTTTTTACTAAAAATAAATTAAAATGTCCCAACTTTGTATGGCAATATCAATACAGGAAAATGAAAAACCATGAGGTACTTCGGACTCGCTCTACCAGGAGAAGTATTTCAAACACAAAATGCATCTTCTAGGGAATGTAAGGCCTATATACTTTAAAATAAACAACTGAGTACATAAACACAACTCCTACTTGCTTCCTTACACTTCTTCTTGAGGAAACCCCACTGTAACAAGCATACTCTGCCTTCAGAGAGCACATCTCTGTAGAACAGCTTTTTGTTTGCTTTATTTAGACGAGAAAAATAATGTAATCTTTTTCCTTTCTTTACACAACTTCTCAGTAAACTTAAACCCTCATCCTGATATCCAGAGCACCATCAGTGGAAAGGTAAGATAAAATCTGCTAGTTGATATCTCCTAAAATCTGAACTGACAGCATACACAGGCTGGTGTGAATATGCACACTGACACATAGAAAAGCCATCCAGATGTTACCAGAGTTTCCAGGAGTTGTTGTCTATGTACTACTTATTGCAAGCTCTGTGCTCAACATCTTTTCCCTGCTAATACTCTTCCATCATGCATTTGAGCTTCCTCTCCTAGCCAAGAAAAGACAGTTTGGATCTGTCTGGATGTCACCCAGTAGCAGCAGGGTCTGCTCTTTTGGCTGTGTCTGCAATTAGCCAGAAGCATTTTACTTGCTCAGGATGCAACTCTTTCCTGTTACTGACACGGCTAATGTACAAAGCTGTGGTCCAATCTGTGAGAAGTGTGGATTTGGGAAAACCAACTACAGGTAAATCTTCCAACTGAGCTGAAACTACAAGGTAAATGGGGAGAAGAGTAGAAATGCACCCACAAAGAGACTTAAGCTGAGAACAGTATGTGAGGTGGAGAATCAGGTACATCTCAGGTTCTCTTTTTTATGTGAGGTGGGTGGGGAGGAGAGATGGCTACCAGCATAACTCTCCTTTGTATTTCAGCACAGTAATAAGCAAGCTGCCATGGATTTAAATAGATCCAGGCATAGCACCCTGTCTTCCCTTTTTAAAGAAGATCTGGGAAGGGCAGCAGGCTCCTGCTTTGTTAGCCATATACTGGAAATTTGAGAGCCAGACCTGCCTCATCCAGGCTGAGATCAGCAACACAAGCCGTACAAAGCCCCTCTTTGCCTTGTGCAGCACTTACAGCATTACAGACTTAGCTGCAAGTCCTATGGGATCATCTCTGCCCATGGCAGCCTGTGGAGAAAGCTCAGGCCAACCCTTCCCTTGGGGTATGCACCTGACATTCCCGATGCCTGATAGAAAAGATGAGTTAAAGAGGCAGTCTCCCCTGCCCTGGAAAAGTGTATTAGTATGGCTCACTGATCTCCCATTCACAACCCGGGGTTTGCTTAAAACCACAGCAACAGCTGGCAGCAAACACACCAGTCAAAGACTGACAGGGGAAGGATCCCTTAATGCACTCTCTGCTGACAGGCAACATCCCCTCAGGCACTACAACTCGAACACAGTGTCCTGAGACATGATGTAAAGGTGCTGGCAAGCTTTGTCAGCTCCCTGAAGCTCCAGCATGCTGAAGGGTAACTTCATAATATATTTTCTTTGAGCACTGCTGCACTAAGAAGAACTTTTGTCCTGTAACTGTGGCAGGGATGTATCACCTGCTGTACTTTCTGGCTTTCTGGAATTCAGGTTACTTAAGTGTCATGTCTGTCAGTGACATCTGGCAGAAGAGAGCGTGATCTAATACAGGGTATCCCCAAGTGCTACAGTTAAGCATAAGGAATGCCTTAATTCAACATGACAGACAGCAGTAAAAGGAAAAAGAAATCAAGGTTACAGTGAAGTGACAAGGTAAGTCCCACCGGATTGAACACTCACATAGTACAGATGAAAAGATGTGAGGGATTTTTTGGAATAGAAGAAAATAAGAAAAACAGGCATGTGAAAAAATGAAGAAGTTGAAGGAAAACTAACAAAAAGATAATAATTTAAAAAAAAAAAAAAACACAAAAAACCCCTGAAAGTAAACAATATATTTTGAAAGCATCTGCAGGGAAAATAAAAGCCTGGGCTGCAATCCCTCATCACTCACTACATGCCCAGCACAGAGCAAGAGGATGCTAATACTCCCCATGCCAACAGCATCAAAATGTAATGAAACTCAAGCATATACAGTGAGTACATGCACGGCTTAAACAATTCAGTCAGTGCCCAGAAAAAAAAAAAAAAACATTAATTTGAACTTATTTGAACTTATTAGACAAATACCATAGGAGTTAACACAATGACTTTTCTCACCACTTTCAAGAACAAAACAGTACGTTGTACCTCAGGTTCTCTATAGGATGGACTGAACATAGGACAGTATCATTCAAGAGTTTAACATAACATTCTGCAATTGCCACTTTGAGACTGGCAGAAACCTCATTTGTCACATTCAGGCTTAATTTCTGTGTTCCGTATCTGCATTCCTCCCAAGTGAACACATAGTGACCTGGGGATAACAAAGGCAGCAGCACTTTTATAATGCAGTCGCATTTTCTTTAGTAAGTACTAATATTATTTAGCATAATAAAATCATTTCTGCACCCGTAGGCTAATACAGTAACATCATCTGTCACATGGCACTGCAAAATTAGTGCTATACCAAGCTTTGTGTTGTTCTATTACACTTGCCTTATTATTAAAGAAGCAACAAAAAGAAATGTTGCAAAACAGCTCCTCTGACAGTCAGCATTTTTCTTCTGTCTTTGATGCATTTCCCCACCACAGTTGTCACAGCAACGACACATACAGAAGCAAAGTCCCACAAGAGGCAGTAACAAAATAAATAGCAATCCCAAGGCTGCGGAGACTATAAAACCGATCTCATAGTAGATGGCCTGCAATTCAGACAAAAATAGTGGTAATAGCAGGTATCACACAGTCACTGCAATCATACAGAGCAAATTAATAACAATTAAACTAAAGACTAAACCATCTACTACGTCTCTGAGGTTATGGGCCCAGTAGTTTTTGTCAATAATCAACAACTTTTGCAACAAAAATATATCTAACATTGCAGACACCAACAGCTAACAGTTATTTAATGAGAGCACTAGGAAGTAAGCTACAGGAATGCATTCTAGGCGAGAAATATGTGCATGTGAAATGAATGCAAAGTGATGCAAATGAAGTAGATTAAAAATGAACAAGTTAAAATTCTTGGACCGCAAATCTAATGTTGTCCACATCTGTTTCCAAAAGGCCTCCATAAATGTCAGCAAGGCTGCCTGGATCAATGCTGGCTGCACTGGGGTGGGAGGGTATGTTGTTCTCTTTGTTAATCAGGTAAGGAAAGATTCATGGGACCAGCCAGTGATGTCCTTCCGGGATGATGGATTGCAATAGCAAAGTTTTCTGCAAACTCCAGATGAAAAAACTGCTTAGGGACTGAAAAATGTAATGGCGTGGATTTTCAGCTCCCTCCGGTAAAGACAGTTATTGTGGTGCCAAACAGCAAAACATCAGCAGCTAACAGCAGGCTTTCCAAACCTGGAAGGAAGGAAGGAAGGAAGGAAAGCCTGCAATGCAATACCCTACTGGCTTGGGGCACAGTGCCTGTGAGGCACTGCAAGCCTCCCAGGGACAGCTGCTGCAAACATAGGGCAGCACGGCCCAAACCAGGCCAGCCATGTGTCTGACAGCTGGGCAGCATGGGGTGGCACGTCCCAGCTGTCCCTCCTGCCTAATAAATCTCTCTTCCCAGATTCTCTACAATTTTGGGAGAAATAATTATCTCGCTTGTACTTTGAATCCTCCTCTGTTTTACAGATCTGCCAGCACAAGGTCAGCTTGGCAGTCCCAGATGAAACTGGGGCTGCGTATTGTCCTGCAAAATAAGTTACAATTTCACACAAGCTATCTATCATGCTCCAGTTCCAGCTTCACTGATGCCCTTCCTCGCAATCCCTAATTACCAACTGATCCAAATACAGCAACCACCACCATTAGCAGAGTTGCAAATTTCTGACCTAATTACCAATTCTAGGATGAAATCTAGTTTTTGTGTTGTTTTTTTTTCCTTTAATTGTCATTACTATTAACTGCTGGTTTACACCTGCTCTCCCTTCTGAAGAACACAATCTAGATACTAGGAAGAGGAATATGGGTATTTTTCTGGAAGAATTACGCAGGAACCCACAAAAATATTCCTGCTTTCTTTTTTAGTTAGCTGAACACTTCAGAAATTATTCTACAATGTACATTTTAAAATAGGTTAGATGGAAAAAAGCTAATTAAAAATAAAACGTAAGAAATAGTTATGGATGTTTTAATAGGAGTAGTGCATATCGACACGGTTAGTTTTTTGTCAAAGCCGTACATCTACCAGATAAGACATTACCTGGAGTGTCAGGACAACATTTTCGGGCTGTGGAAGTCAAAACAAATGGAGAGTGTGTGTAACAGGCAGCATGCACAAAAACAAATCGAGTAATGAATAATTAACCACAATCAAAACAATTAACAACACAGAAACAATAACAAAAAGCCACTGAAGTAAAATAATGCATAGAAGCACAACTATGTAATGACAGAGAATTACATACAATAAAATACACAGCAGGTAATGTCTGGTTCCCTTTGTAAGTAAATGGAATCTAAGATCTGTCCAACAAACACTTCCATCTTAGAGCAGTGCAAATCAGTGTAGCAAACATCTGTTTCTTTTAATTCCCAGCAATCTCAAGGCCAGAGATTGCATTTCTTTGTGGTTTAGTGACTCTTTCAAAAATTCCACCAGTTGTAACTGACCTGTGATATTCCTGACTAACATTTTCTTTTCAATGCTAATTTTATTTTGGCATAAGTGCAGCATTTTCAGTAGCAGTTTTGGGAATGTGACAGATTACACAGAAAATTCACTTTCAAGTAATTATGGAGAGATTATAAATTATGCAAAAGTAAAAAAGAAGGCATTCAGGAAGGAATGGGGAAGTGTATTTAACAGGTTCTTAATCCATTTTTCATCTGTATTTCAAGAAAACACTGAAAGTGAAATACACAGTGACAGGAATTTCTGAAGAACTTAATTTTCCCCTTGTTTTCACAGTGAAAACAGACTTACTGTATTATCCTATTAATCTCCAAATGACAAATTCACACCTGATAATGCTTTTCCTTTTCTTGACAGCAGAAGAGAAAAGCTACATAGGTAAAACAGCAGACCCTCAACCTGAAGTCTGCTGTGTGTGAATCAGGAATGTTTCCAAGTTGTAGTCAAATTTCTTCTTCAGCATTACACACACCTTTGTGGAACTTCTACTGTACGATATGCTTTGAAGAGTCGCAATCATATTTGGTACCATTAAACTCTCTTAAAAATATGGACCATGTATGATTTTGAATGGTTTTAGCAAGCCTTCTCCCAGCAGAACTAAGGCTGTTGCAGCAGCAGTAGTGATGAGCTGAGTCCCTGTGAGCACACAGCAACTGTGCTCAGCTGTCAGGTTATCCTGGCAGCTTGGGGTCCCTGTCAGGGGATGATGAGGCATCTATGCAAGAGTCCAGCTGGGATCACAGGGACACACAGTGCAGAACTGGGGAGGGCCTCTTGAGTCACTAACACATTCTACAAATAGCTTTAAAAAAAAAGGAGAGAGAGATGAAGGAATGGCAGCAGAAATTTAACAAGATAAATGTCAGAAGCAGTTAGATTTCCTACTTCTTTCAATTCCCTGGTGAACTAGCGAGCCTTCCTTTAATGTGGGTTCACACATGGCCCACTTCTTCCCCTCCTTCTGTGATAACATCACCATATTCCGAAATAGGAGCCTTTTCTTCCTGGTGTTTCTTCTCCAAATATATGTATTTATCAGGAGTAATCACACCCCTTGTCAATTCTTTTCCTAAGCTAAACAAAGACTTCCACTGTCCTCTGGAGACCAATGCGTTTCGCAGATCATCCTAACAAACACTCCCTGAGCCCATCATTCATTCCTTCTGGCTGAGCAACCAAATCCAAGGCAACGTTTCCAGTCTCCTACTCGCACCCTTCAGGGACATTCCCATTTCCCTGCCTCTGCTGGGAGCTCCTCCAGAGGCACATTCACAGCCACACTTACCTCTTCATGGCTACATCTCTCTGATACTTCTGGCTTCTGCAAGTCTCTCCACTTGCCCTGATTTATTCTCAAAATTGTTTCAAGGTTTGGATTATATTCTGGTCAGAATTAGGTCCTATAGATGGCCTATATCTTCTTAAGCACACCTGATATTGTATCTGCCATCCTATAATCACACAGTATTTTACCAAAGGCTTTAACTACAGATAACAGCTATTAGTCTCAAGTTTCTCTTGACTTACATAGTGGTAATCACTACACTGAAGCTCATATCTACCATCTATGTTCTTACACTTTATCCAAGGGCCCAGCCAAAAAAGCCCACTTCACGCTGCTCTCTAGGAGTGCCCACACCACAGACAGGTGTTGCACTGCTAAGGCAAAGAACATTAGACGAGCCCATAGGATTGGCAAGTGCTGCTTGATGCAGCTGGAGGACAATATCCAAGCATTCAAGTGTAATGCAGAGTGTATCAAACCCCTGGAGTGATAAGCTCGCCGTCAGAAAGGCATAGAAACACAAGGTCTTCCCACTGCAAATCCCAAGGTCATTCAGCTCATCCTCAATCGAGACAATAGATTAATGCCTGTATGCCAAGCTCCATGCTCATCTACCTGTCAGAACACCATACTAAGCTCACATGGAACACTTGCTCATTGCGTGGACCTGGTTATGACTCCTACAGCACAAGGAAGAAGGCCCAAGCAGTGACACTGCTTCAAAGATGGGGCACTGTCCTCAAGAACAGCCTGAAATCAGACCCAAGCTCTGTTCTACTTCCTCTTGCTAACAGACATCTTAAGAATTTCAACTGTCACAGATAAATAAAGAGAGAACGGAGAGTATACTTAATGTGATCAGCATACTCTAAAATTCTTTATCAGTAGACTATGGAAACTTAGTTTGACCAAGTCACCAGAAGCAGTATATAAACTGAACTTTATGAGGAAAACAGCTGAAACTAACATGAGAACTGAGCAGTAATGGCTCTCGCTATAAAGCATTTTTAAATAAAAGCAGTACTTTTCAATACAAAGGGGCTTCAACTTCTGCATAATAAGGACTGCAGTCACATTACAATTGGAATTTATAATGGAGCCTTAACTGTGCGTTTTTTACACTGGCATATGAAATTCCTTTGTGACATTTTTGACACATTTCAGTCTCAATTTTTATAAGAAACCATCAGTCTTGTTGCCCTCAAATTTCATTCCCATATCTTTTTGTTATAACTTTAAAATACTACTCACTGTTTTAGAAATAAAACTGAATTTCAAAGTCACTGTTTTCATTACATTATGCAGATACACACAGACAATTTACCTTTTGATAATCGCCCTGTGTATTTCCAAACTTCTGCTGTGCTAGTTTTCTGATGAGATCTGAAAATAAGCAAGAACATTCCAGAGTTTTAAACAAAATACATTACAAAAATGGAGGAAAGAGGATGGTATGAATTCTACTCTTAAGCAGGCAAGATGTAATTAAGAATAGACATCTACAGGATCAGCAAGCACTTACGTCTTTCCATAAACTTGTCTAGTACCAACATTTTTAATTGACTGTGTATTTTATGAGATCACCAGGGTATACATCAATTAAACCCCACTGAAATGCAATGAAAGTTTTTCTGAGGTCACCTTTCTGTAGCTTAGCAACATTATTAAAAAATTTAAGTACAAACTTATCAATTACTTGGACAATGTTCTGGGTGCCAGCTTTGCTTCATTTCTAAGACAAGCACGTACATAGATACATATAAATACATACACAAAATTACATAGATAATGTGCAAAACAAGCATGTTAATGACTTCTTGATTGAAGAGTAGAAGGAAGAAGACCCTTATCTCACCCACTTCATTCTAGTTTCTATTCTTTCTTGGTTTTGGGACCAACAGACCTTACACAAGGGTATGCAACACAGCCAGAACAAATCCACATGGTACTGCAAGTGCAACTCCATTTCACTCACTTCCACAAGATACCATCCAAAAAATGAAGTAGGAGTTCAACATCAGTGCCACTTCATATCAGAAATACAACTTTGCCACACTTATAAGCTGCAGTAAACCCCAGCAGCTGAAGGAATGGATCTCCTTTTGCAGACATCAGCAGCCTGCTCTCACAGAAGTGATACTATCCCTGTGGGAACTACGCTGGGACCTTAAGGCTGCTGGCCACTAGTGTGATGCCCTGCACCTGCAAGCACTGGGAGCTCTAGCTCTGCTCCCTGCCAGGCTGCACACAAGAAGCCTTGCTCAGATGTCCAGGAAAAATGATGGACTGAGCTTCTGGTCTCTGAGGAAAAGGAAATACATTAGGAAGGAACAGTCTGACCCCGTGCTCATACAGGACTGGGCTCAGTGTGTTCAAGGGCGCTGTGATCTCACTCTTCTCCAATTCTGCACAAGCCTTATAAAAACAAATCCCCAAGCAGGCAGCTCCCCCTGTCCTCATCACCAGCACCCAACTGATCTGCAAGTTCAGGAGATTTTGAGAAGTTCCTTGCAGAAAATCAAACACAACCGCAGAGCAACAACTGCTGTTTTCAGTGCGACAAGGAAGGCTTTCCCTGCAAGGAAACTGCAGCCACCAAGACTGCAAATTAAAAAATTAAAGTAAAAATCTGTTAATGTTAACATACACAGGAGTGTCAAGCAGCAAATCATTCACAGACGGGAAGTGTATTTTAAAATGCAGGAAGCGTGCTAGCAGTTGATGATAAAGGATTTCATACAACCCCCTTTTTGAAAGACTATACAGAAGCTAGAAGACAAGGCTGAATCCCACAGTAACAGAGGTAGAACAAAAACATCAGTAAAATAATACCTAGGTAAAAGAAAGGAGCTCCAATCCTAATAAACTTGTTCAAGCATTGCTTGGCAGGGATCAACCAACCTCTGCCAAGATGCTCACAGCATCCCCAACGACCCCTGGAGCATTCCTCAGGGAGTTTCAGTAGCAAGGAGGTGCACAGCCAAGTGGGGCAGCACTGCACAAAGCCCAAAACGTAATGCACAAAATGTCTGCTGTCTCAGACAGTATTTTCTTCAGCAGCAAATGCAGAACATCTTTCCTCTAATTTAAATCTCTATCCCTCCCAAAGAGGTAATTTTAAGTAAGATTTGGTGCATGAATCATCCAAAGCAATGAATTTTCTCTTGATCTTACAAGCAGAAGAGCTAAAATAACCCTTTCATTTATGTATTTATTTACCCATTTAGCATTGTGTAACAATACACTGCAGAACAGCCACTGAAGATGGGTTTTAAGGTCCCTTTCAGCCCTTTCAGGTCCCTAAGCCATTCTATGATTCTATAACCCCTGGAGATCTTCCACTCAAACCCCTGGCTCAGAGCATGGGTAGCTACATCATGTTTCTCAGGGCTCAGTCCTGAACTTGATCATCTCCAAGCAAAATATCTAATATTTTAAAAAAAGATTAAAAAATCTCAAACTCTTCTGACTACGTGTGATACACCTAAATTGCTCAGAATGTTTCTGATTCACAGTTGTTATTTATACCCTTTCCATAATTTATATCTTGCAGGTCAAAAACAGTACCTGAATACACTATGACAAACTGATACAAAAAACAAGATTTTTGATGTGTTTTCAGAATTTAGAGGCTCTAAAGCCTTTTCATCAGAAACTAAAGCCCCGTTAGGTTTATAGTAAACAAGAAACACCTGAAAATAGGTACAAAAAATTTCCCATATGGATTGCATAAATTAGATACTAAATAGTAAGAGAAAATATGGGTATTATGCCATACACAGCACAATGACTGCTATTACACAGCCTGTTTTTTTCCTTAATTTTCAGAATGGGAGTTTTCCCTGCTGAATAAGGATTTACTACTTATATTACTTGGTAAAGATTTTTTTTAGAAACTTCAGCATGTTCTTCTCAACAGGCAACGCATAGTGATTGATCATTCTTTGCAATGAATTTACTATTTCAATAACTTTCAGTATCAACTGTTAGATATTTTACAAGTTAATTCATTTGGAGGAATCTCAGGGGAGAACTTATTGCCCTCAACAATGACCTGGAAGGAGGTTGTGGTGAGGTGGGAGTCAGCCTCTTCTCCCGGGTAACAACAATAGGATGAGAGGTAATAGCCTTAAACTGCACCAGGGGAGGTTCTGGTTAGGTATTGGGAAAAAACTCTTCACAGAAAGAGTGATGAGGCATTGGCACAGGCTGCCCAGGGAGGTGGTGGAGTCACTGTCTCTAGAGGTGTTCAAGAAAAGCATAGGTGTGGCAGTGAGGGACACTGGGGTTGTGGTTGGACTAGGTGATCTTAGTGGTCTTTTCCAGCCTTAATGACTTTATGCTTTCACATGACACATGGAAGCTATTCCCATAAAAATTAATACTGGCTGAATCCAAATGTAAAATTACCTTCAGTTACTCACCCACACACCTGTAGGCACAAACATGCCTCAGTGGTTTTGCAGGAACTCAAGTTTTATGCACATCACTAGTAATCATGTTTAATACAACAGCACTCAGAGGTTAAATGGTAGAGCATCCTGTGCTCCCTTGTATACTGTGTTTTCACATACACTGCTCATTACTGCACAGTGAAGAAACACCTCAGTCTGCATTTAATTCCTAACCCCTGTGATTTAGATTTGATTTAGATTTAGATTAGATTTAGATCTTTCTATGAAGAGCCATTCTTTCCCAGCAAGAACATCTCAAATCTAGCACTGAAATGCATTTTTATTTTAAACTGAACTAAGACAACTCCACCTGATACTATTCTGCATGATGCGTAGAGTACCTCAGAGCCAATCCAACATTCTTGAGTCTGGTTCCCAGTTCGAACACAAAAGTGCTAGGCAGGTGTGGAAAGGAGTGGTGCCCTCTATTTTCAAATTAAGTAGATTACTTCTGAAATCTTGGCTTGACCAGCTGCACACATTGTTTCACAGGACCAGTAATCCAAGGCTTTAGCACAGAACACATTTCCTCACTGGGGTTAAAGGGATTTACCTTGTGAGGCTCATTTACACAGCTAATTACATTATTGCTCTGCACTGTCCCCTTCCTGCTCTCATCACACATGCAACATGCCATCTGCCCTGGCAAATCTAACTAGCCAGATGAACTGTTCATTTACCAATGCAATTTGTGATGAAATATTAAGCACCTCTGAGAAGCTCCTGTCAATGAAACAATCACTATCTTCTGCATAATTTGAGTGTCATGCACATCCAGCCAATAACACCATACTGTTCAGACAAGAAAATAAGGTTATAACTAGGCTTTCTTCTTGGAACTACTCTACAGAAAGGGAGAGCAAAAATCATGCAGATTTAAAAATAAACAGTCTGGCTTTTAGTCCCAACATAAATTAGTTATAAATGCTTCTTCCACGAAAGCTTTTCAAATCTAGGTGACAGGAAAACAGTTGGAATAAAACCTTTGGGAACGCTATGCTTAACGGCTCAAACAATTCCATTGAGCCAGTTCAGTTATAGTGCAATTCCAGCATTAATCAAATTATGCCAGAAATTCATTTATCCTTTTATGCATAATGTAACATACTAAGTTTCTATTCTGAAAAAAACTTCAAGCTAGCCAGTAAGTACCGTGACTGAAGCATTCAACTCGCACTGAATGGAGTTCTTCAGAACAACAGGAGAGAATTATATTGATAATATACATGATAATAACTGCTTTCACACCATCTCTTATCACAGAACTTCCCCCCATTCCCCTTCATCTATAACAGACAGTGTCAATGGATTATGTATACACTGCTCAGTTCAGTGTTTTTCTGAATATGGATCAGTTTGACCCCATTCAGTGTTGTGAATAAACAGCAACAATTAGTGTGAAATTAATTAATTAAAATAGCTTCAAGACTGTTTTTTTCCTCTCTAATTATGACTCAGACTATAAACTACCTCTTGCAAGTCCAAGAAAACCATAAAACATTTCAGATTTATTAGCAGAGAAAAAAAAATCTTTTGGGTTTTCTATAGCAAATTCAGTTTATTGACATTTTAGAAAACTTGCTTTGACCTGAGTGGAATTTTCATTGCTTCCTCAAAGTTAGAAGGCCTTAATTATAGTCAGATTCAGTTTCCTTTGAAGAAATCTCCTCCAGTAGATAAGCTAGGGTGTTTTCCTTTACTGCTGCTTAACTACTTCATGGATCCACACGCTTGCTCTGTCCCTAGTCCCAGGTCGACTCTGCACTGCTGGGGCCTCAACTCAAGCACTAAGTGCAGTTTTAGGTACTACAAGAAGGGAAAACCTACAGAGTGCTCAAAGTAGGGCTACTAAAATGAGGAAGGGTCTAGAGAGCAGGATGCATGAGGAGCATGTGAAGTCCCTTGATCTGTTCAGCCCAGAGCAGAGGA